CCTTGCAAACAGGTCTGACTGAACAGCTGAGCATGAGCTGAATTTCACTGCATTACCCTTGTGGGAGAAACAGAGGCCCTGGAAGTGCCAGAAGCTGCAATAAAGTTGTGGCAAAACTCATTGCATGGCATAAGCATGGTGAAGACAGGATTATCAGCATGCAGCTTCTCCCACATGCAAAACACGTACCATCTTCTGGGTGATTTATTTGCTATTTCACAAATCTGTTTTAGATGCAGCCTCTACAGTCTTGTCTCCACTTGAGGGGAGGAGGGTTTATCTATCACCCTGAATTTCCTGCAGCATGTGGAGCCTGTTCAGGAGCCATCTGCCTTGGATGCTTGGCCCTTGGCATCTCCAACACAAACATAAAGCCTCCTATTAATTGCAAAGATATGTTGCACCAACACAGTATTTCAGGCAGGTTGACTGGCCGATTCAGTAACTCTTCAGCACCCTCCATAACAAGCACTTACTTTCAGAATTTTATTCAGGAGCAACCTGGGACATGTACAAGCCAGTACCTTCCTTGACAAATGGCAACAGGCAATCGGTTGTCCCCTAGGAGCATGTTTGTTCCTGCAGGAGAGCAGACCTTGAGAGCTTTGCAGAGAGCCACATATTCTGGGCAGTGAGAAACAAGAGCCATGGGCTTGCAGTGGCAGCAAACATGGCAACAAAGCCAAATAAACATTTTTTGGCACACAACTGGGGGTGGGAGCTATTATCACAGTAGGGGAGAGCCAAGGCAGGATCCACAATGCTGGATGCCAAAAGCCAGGAGGAGCAGCTCAGACACAAAATGGTACAAGGCTGATGGGAGGGCTGGGTGGAGGACAACAGCCCAGCTTTTTTTGGCCAGTGCACACAATTGTGCTCAAGTGTTGCTCAGTGGAATGGCTGGGGTATTATTTTTACAGCACTTTTCCTGGAAAGCTGCACTTTGCAGCCTAGTGGGTGTGAGCCATATCCCCACAGCAGGCTGGCACTCAGCTGGTGTCTGTATCCTCATTTTCATTGCAGGCTGATTTAGTGGGCTTTGCAGAGAGAAGAGCATTAGTGGATATTCCACATTGTTTTCTGGGACCAGTGCAAGGTTTAAGAACAATGAACTCTGGCCAACTCTGTGCAACAAGCTTCTGATGTTTTTCTGTACCTCAGGAGCAAGATATCTCCTTCCCTGTGGCAGCTGGATTTGCTTTCTCACTTGTGAAATAGATACAGACAAATGGCTCCAAAATGTTAAAGAAAATCGAGGCACTGTCTTATGAGTGTAACTGTTCCTCTATGGATGGGGCTTATTCTGGAGTAGAGGAGCCAGGTGTAAATTTTTGGCTTGGTTATGTGCCTGCAGCAGTCAGAACAGGCTATGTACAGCAGTATGTCAAACTGGAGCAGAATGAGTACAGACAAAGCAAGAAGGGATCCTGTAAATCTGTGAACAACTAGAGAGGTGAATAGCCAAGCCCCAAGCCTCTAGAAAGCTGCAAGTGCCAATACCATGTTCTGTTTGAAGATCACAGAATGGTTGGGATTGCAAGGGACCTCTGGAGATTATCTGGTACAAAGTCTCTTGGTGAGAGCCAAGACACAACTTCCTCCTAGTCTGCCCAAGTCTTGGAGGGCTTCACTGGATTTGGTTGGATGCAGATAACTCAATAAATAATATTTCTACTGTAATTCCACAAATACAGAGCTAGTGGCTTTATAGCAGTGTAAACTAGTTCTTAAAGATTCTGAGTAACTTAGTAGCCATAGCAGTTGAGAAAAAGCCCAGAATTATGCTCGGTTTAGAAATTAAAATGTTGAAAATACTGCCTTGTTTTTGCATTCAAGATATTTTCTGTACTACATTTCAGCATGGAGTAAATTAGCAGTGGTAGGAGAAAAGATCTGGGGAGAAAAATGCAATAGAATTTGTAACAAAATGGCAAAGCCCAGCTTAAAGCCATGACAATCACACACATTAGCAAAAAAGGTCTTGTCATCTCCATCAAGTGCTTTCTTTTCCAGCCCCATGGTGCAGCTCCATCTCATATTCTGTCTCTGAGACACAGGGACAAAGGAGATGGGTGGTTTAATCCAATTTATCCAGACAGACAAGAAATAATGTTCCCCTTCTCTGTGGTACAGTAAGTCCCATTATGGATTATATGCTTGGCTTTCCTCAAGCCACAGCTTCCAGTCATGTTGGTACATGGTTTTCCAATACCAGTCTTGGCTTGTCCTTCAGGTGGCAAATTGCCCCATCACCCCTTTACAAGCCTCAGCTATGTGGCCAAATAGAGGATGATCCTCCCTCACCCTCTGATTGTCTCAGTTTTTCTTGGAGAACTTTTCCAAAGTATTTCCAGTGCCACTCATGGGGCCCTCATCTTGGTCAGAGCCATAAAAGGGGCTCCAGTGAGCTGCAGCATTCTGTGATGGGCAAGGGCATGCTTGTAAATAACTCATCTGAAGTATACTTGGAGAAGAAATGTTAAGAAATAAAGTGTCAATGATGAGAAGCCTGTAGCCCTTCTAAAAGTATGAGATCATTCTTACATGAGAGTGCTGTAACTCTTATGCATAAAAAATTCCTCAATTATTATTAGGATGGAAATAATACAAACCATTATTCTAAAATAAAGCTGTCTGGGCTTGCAAAATTTACATTCAAATAGTGAGAAATGGTAATTTTAAGCTTACCAAGCAAACATAATTATTTTGCACAAGTTTTTATCTTAGCTTCAGTAAGGCAAGGTTCCTGGGGAAATGACAAGTGTAATTAAAACCTGTCTCATCATGTGTGCACACAGGGGAGGGCAAGCTGTGATGGTAATTGTAACTGCTCCTAGCAGGTGTTTTTCTGTTAATATGAAATATTAAATAAAACCTACCATATTTACTAACCCAAATATTCTCCTGTATGCTTCTGTGCACTCTTTCCCCTACAATATTTGATAGCTCCCAGGCAACCCCAGTACTGCGAGGAGCCTACATGGGTTTTTATGACTTTTAATTCAAGTTCATTTGCTATGTGCTGCCAGAATTTTCCCAGGGAATGCAGACAAGGAGTGGTAAATGGTGATTAATTTAGACAGCCTAAGTAGAGGACTCATGATGGCTCCCCATGTAATACAAGAAAGTTAACAGCTCTGATGTCCTTTTGTTAGGGAATTGTGTAGCCTGGTTGTTTAATGGAGTGTTTAAAAATTGTGTTGGCAATAGCCTATGAATAATGTATGATGATATACCTTACTGCCAAGAAACTGCTGATATGCTGGGGAAATTTCCATCAGATGTGAGAAAAATTTTGAAGGCACTGTCTTCTTGGGATGCCCTTTATTTATAGCCTCACTGCTTCAGAGATTGCCTTCCCTTTTTAGATACTGCATGTGAAGATGCCCTCCACTGCCTCTGCTTCTGTCTTCCTACTCCACTTGACTCCATTTGTTTGTGCCCATAAAAGATCCTGATTTTTTACAAGATTAGGCTTTATCACCTGGGCACTGTAAGCATGGAATATTTCCTGTGCAATCTTCACCTGTTCTAGGTATCTGCATGAAGGCATCCTGCATCAAAGGAAGATGGACACTGGTCATGACAATGTCCCATGATGCAGGAAGCAAAAAAAGAGTCAAGTTATTTGGAAAAAAAAACAAAAACAAAGACAAATTTGATTTCACAGTGTGAAATCAATTTGTATGCCTCCGAATTTTCCCCTATGTCCTCCTCCAGGGCAGGAGGCCTCTTGTGCTTTGGGCATGAGTTGTGGGAAGTCATTGTGGTATGTAGGAAATAAATCTTGCTTGAGCAAAGAAATTATAAGATTGAGGGTGAGCCCCTGCTTGCAGGTGAGCTCAGGGGGTTACACTGCCTTAGGAAGAGGAAACAGGCCTCCTGTAAGACTCTGGGACATAGCTCAGGCAGGCATGGAAGCAGTTACAGTCCTTTCCCTTGCTCCTTGTTTTGGCCCTCAGCTCTTCTCCAGCAGAAAATAAAATCATAGCTTTGTTTCTCACATGGAGTTTTACCCACCTGCCCTGAAATGCAGAAATGTGGCAGGAGGGCAGGTGAACACAATGTGTACCACTGTGCAGAGTGGTCTCAGCACAGTGTTTGTCAAGAGCAGACCCAGCTTGTGGAGCCTGTAGCTCTGTGCCCTGCTGTGGTTTTGTTATGAGTAGCCAAGTGCTCGTGCTGCATTTTTGTGTCTGTATTTACACAATAGAGCCCTGAGTCAAAACATTTCCTGCATTATGGTACTGTATTATTAGTATATTGCTAGAACAAAGCCACACGAGGTTGATGTTAGAATGAGTCAGCAGAGGAAGTGACATCCTCACCTGGGAGGTTGATGTGTTGGGTTTTGACGTTCGTGATGCCAACAGCAAGCTCCAGGCATGAGGCTACAGGGCAGAGGAAAGAATGGGTTGGGAGAGAGGTTGTATCCTCAGGGTGATCTGCAACTGGCTAAGCAGGAGGATTTGTGAAAATGGGAGAGAAGATTTGTGCTTTTACTGGCTTGTTTGCTGCTGGGATATATCTGGGCATGCAGTATTTTCACAGTTCCTGGAAAGGTGTATAAAAGGATGTTCTGGTGTGATTTTATGATGATTGTATCCCCATTCATTTGTTTAGACCAGAAATAAGTTTTGCACCTTTAAGATTAGCCTAAACACAAGATAGGTGACAAGGAGCACCAGAGGAGTTTGACTAATGACCTGAATATTTTCAGTGGAACAAATAAAGAGAAAAGTTTCTAAAACTTCCTTGAAATCCATCACTCAAAGCCCATCCTGCCAACTGAGAAGTGTATTCAGCAGAGAGAGTCACAAAGGTCCAGGCAGAGGGTCGTGGTCAAGTTCAACCAGCATTTCTGGGGTAGGAGCACTGTCAGCTGACAGTATATGGAAGAGCAACTTTCAAAGGGAAGGAGCCAGTTCTGTTATGAAGTTTATTCCACTGATGTTTCTGATGATCCTATTAACTTGTTTTTTAACATTTGTTTTCTTTAGGTGAAGAGTGAAGGCCCCAAACTGGTCCCCTTCTTTAAAGCCACTTGTGTCTATTTTGTCCTTTGGCTGCCAACTTCCAGCCCCTCCTGGTTCAGTGCCCTCATTAAATGTCTACCCATCTTTTGCCTGTGGGTCTTCCTTCTGGCTCATGGGATTAACTTCCTAGTGTCACACCGGAGTGCCAGCCGCATCCTAGCAGGACTCATATTCTCAGCAGTGGGAGATGCCTTTCTCATCTGGCAAGAGCAGGGCTACTTCATTCATGGTGAGTATACAGTGTCAGTCCTAAAGGCATGCCACAGTGCCCAGCTGTTACCCTCTTTATTTAGTAATGAGTTGCTGGCCCGCATGTTTTGTTTATTCATGTACAGCTTAAGCCCCAGGCGCTGGGAAGCACTCATCCCTTGACTAAAATCCCTCATGGTTTGAGGAAGTACATTGTGGATGAGTCCTCTTGAGGTTAGAGAGGTAATTGGGTCAGGTTAGGTTTCCTGGCATGTGTCACAGCATCTGGGCTGGCTGTAGTTGAGAAGGTGGCATGCCAGAATACCTGGGGAAGAGAAGGAAACGCTCGTGGCACTCATCAGTTCCCATGAAGCTGTGGAAAGTGTTTACCTCCTATCTCTCTGCAGGGATATCTGTCAGCCCTTTGCTATGAAGACTGGGGATGGGACATATTGTGCATATTGGTAGAGAGGACATTTATGTTTTGATAGACAAGCCCATAGCCTGGGGGAGGCATTAAGTGGATGATAAAAACCAAAGCAGCATCAATCTTGTCCTACTTGCAGGTTCATCAGTGTGAATCATGCAGCCTGTTGTACAAGACATGTCTGTTTTGCAAACTTTTAAATGATGGTCAAGGACAAACCTTACCACAGTAGTCTTCTCTACAGAAAAATCCACATCTCTCAGAGCGCAATGAGCTTGGTTTATTTTGCTAGTTTGCAGACTGGAACATAATGATTCAGACTAATCATTTAAAGTCATGTTGAACCTGCCTGCAGCAAGTCTCTCCTTGGCCTTGGACTGTCAAAAGAAATCAGCAGCAGTTGAGTTCTTCACTGAAATGACTGGTGGGGTTTCTGAAGTTAATTTAAGCAACACAGGCATTGCACATAACACCTGCCATTAACTGGCTGCTGTAACTGTCCCTCTGGAAAATGTGATGAGGGAACTTTCCTGACTTGTGCTGTTGTCAGCTCTGAAAGTCAAAGGCTTATTTTTTCCCCTCTCTCATGAGGTTAGTATTTAGTTTTATTCTGGGATTTCCACAAGCTCTTTCTTTACCAGAAGGAAGTGTGTGCAGTGCCAGATATGAAAGGCCAAATGCTCTGAATCTGATTTTAATCCTGCTTCTCAAGGGCTTATCCCCATCCCATTAAAAGTTGGGGTATATATTTCAGATATAAGCAGATAAAGTGCACTGCTCCACTTCATCCTTCACATTGCCTGCAAAATGTATTTTCTCCTATTTAAAACTCAACAGGTTGCTGTTGCTGACAACTGACAATATTTTTGACATCATCAGTTGTGGGAATTTGAAATTTGAAGAGAAAAGAGGAAAGACTGGATGAAAATGTACATTCTGTTCAATTTCTGCAAGTTTTGGAGTGAAAAGGGTTGGAAACTGGCCTCATTTGAAAAGCTTTTGAGACAATGAGTTTATAAAAGGACATTTGTTCATTACTTTATAGGGAAGCGAGAGCCTGGGAACCTACTCCTGGCATGCTTGACTTTTTTTCATTTTTGCTGTTTCAGTCCACTAATAACACATTATTTTCTGACTACTGTCTTACTGCATGTAGAAGATATTTTACAGTGTTAATATCTTAATATCCACCTCCTTTGATAGCAGGCACTTACAAACAATTTATGCATTTGGTGAAGAAGACAGGGACTAGCAAAAAGGCCTTATTGCCAGCCTGACGAAACCCAGAGGAAGAAAGTGGGAGAAAAGGGCTTATCTCCCTGATGTGGTTGAGAGGACCAAGCTAAAGGCTAAGAAATACAAGAGAAGTGCACCCCCTCCCCTGTGCAGCCATCACAGATTTCCCCAGTTCCTGGCTTGATTTGTGGGTGTTGAATGAGTAAACCTGGGAGCTGACTCCCTTGTTTGTGACCAGTATCACCACATATCACGAAACTCCTTCTGCCTTTCCAGGCTCTTTGCCTGCCGCACCCTGTCCTCTCCTCATCCTCCCTGCCAGATGCATGCATGAAGGACATCACATTCTTCAGTTCCCTGTTGCAGAATGCTCCATATAATGACAGTGAAGGAAAGACCATTGCTCACTGCTGGGACAACATATACTTCTTCTCCTTAGCACATTCCTGGGCTCTAACCTTTCTTACATTATAACCCTGTAACAAGCTCTTGTCCTAAATCCCTTCTCAGTTCCTTCAGTGTTCTGTCCATGAGGTAAAACATCAGCTTCTCATTGTCCTCTGTGCTTCTCTTCTTTCCCCTTCACGCTGTCCATTTAACTCTAGCCTCACCCTGCAAAACAGATCCCACCAGCCTCCTCTCTCTTGTGGATTTTCTTCTCATCCCACCACAGCTGAGCTCTCAGTGGGTGTCTGATCTGGTCTTCTCCACAGTCAGGGAGATGCTTCCACTTCTTCCTTGACTGCCTCAACAAGAGTAGTAGGATGAAGTAACGTGTGCCAGCTGCAGGTTTTGTGACTGCCTTTACACATGCTAAATGTGAACAAGTGTCCTGCTGGAGGACTCAGCTTCCCAGATCCTTTTCTCCATTTCATGCTTTAGAGTTGCATGAAAACTTCCAGCTCCTCTAATAACCCTACCAAGATAAAGTAGGAGAGCCTGCAGCTGCACCATGTGTGGGTCTGGGAACCAGAAGACCCAAGAAGCTGGGCTCTGTTTGTGCCCCATTATCTACAGTTGTCATTGACAGCTTGGAGACAGCAGCTGTACCAACATGTTGGGACATATTTTTGTCAAATGGATTAGTGAGAAGTTAATAACAGGGGCAGCACCTTCCAACACCCACATCTGGCATTTCTCAGTGGTGCTGCACTTCAAAGGGAAGCTGGCATTTTATTTTCTCTGACTGATTCCTGGTAAGGTTCATCTGAATCTTGCAAATAGCCATAAAATTGTTGGCAGATCACATTGGTGCAGTCTCTGAAATATGCCAGCTGCTTCTTTCCAGTTTAGATTTCTCCCAGCTCTGGGCAGAGATGGAGAAGCAGTTAGATTTAGTCCTCAAGTGCCTTTGGGTTTGTGGCTAAATATGGGCAAGCTTTGTGTCAGGGTTCAGAGGGATTGGTCTTTTGTCAGGTTTTGTTCCTACACTGCTGTGGTTCCAGTCTTCCTTGTTCCACATGTGACCTATGAGCAAAACACTATGGATAGTTAGAGGGGGTGGTCTTTGGTCTGCCTTGTTCTCAACCTTCCACCCAAAGTAGGGGAAGAGGAGGTACCTGAAAAACAAGATCAATTAACTCTCCAGCAGCTTAGTTCCACCCAGCTTCTTAGCAGAAAGGCTTTTGTCACAGCAGAGCTGTACTTTCCTGCAGCTGTATTTTGTGCGGGGGCTTTTATTTAGGTTGGAGGCTTGGTGCTATCTCCCACGTACAGATTTTTGTAATAAAATGGTCTGTATGGTTATCACTGGCAGTGTTAGTGGTAGGTAACACTGGAAGAAATGTTTTCTTCTGCTGCTGACTGCCAGTCACTGATGAGAGGTCACACTTTCTGTGTCGATGCCTCTCTCCAGGTCTGCTGATGTTCGCCATCACACACATCCTGTACTCTTCAGCCTTTGGCATGAAGCCTTTGGACCTCAAAGCCGGCTTGCTGATGGGCGTCGTTTCCAGTTCCTGCTATGCCTTCCTGTACTCCTACCTCTCGGGTCCGTTCACCTACCTGGTGGCCGTCTACATCGCCCTGATCGGCTTCATGGGCTGGCGGGCGGTGGCGGGCGTGCAGCTCTGCAACGACCTGTGGACATGGACCAAGCTGTCGGCCTGCGTGGGCGCCATGCTCTTCATGGTGTCGGACCTCACCATCGCGCTCAACAAGTTCTGCTTCCCCGTGCCCTACTCGCGCTTCATCATCATGGCCACCTACTACGCGGCCCAAATGCTGATTGCGCTGTCGGCTGTGGAGACCAGGGACGAAGAGGACTTCAGGAAGAGGAGCTAGGTGGAATGCCAATAGTCTGTGAACACATGGGTTATATCTCAGGTGCTGTAGCTGCATTCACCCCTGAGAGAGATCTCCATTTCTCTAGGCACACTGGTGATGTTGATTTTGCTTCTTTGAAGCATTACCTTTGGGAATTACATTATTTTCATTGGCTTTCTCTGAATACAGCTTACTTCAGTGTGGAGTCCACATCAGAAAGCTTAGACTGTCCCTGCAGTAGTTACTCATTCAACTTTTCCTCCTTGGAAGTGCTGTACTACTGCATTTGACTTGTTAGTCTTGAAATTGATGCTGAATGTCTGGGAAGAGGAGGGCTGGTGGAAAGGAGGTTTGGCCATACACTGTGCTAAAAGGCCTGCTCTCAACTGTAGGCAGACAGGCACAGATCTCTGCTGAAGTCATAGGTAAAAATTAATTTAACTGATGTTTGTCTCTTTGTATGCATTACAGAATGCAAACTGGAGCTATTTCTCTACTGAAAGGAAGCTTGGAGGGAGAATAAAACAGCATATCCAGCTGGGAGCTGAGCTCTGGAGTCAATGGCAGCGTGTGGGGCAGTGGAACCCAGCTGAACCAGCATAAAAGCAGAACCCCAAGCTGAGGACACAGAGGGAGGAGCTGGCAGTGCTGTGTGCTTTGATTGCAGTGCTCACTGCTCCAGGACAGGTCTCTAGGTGCAGGTCAGCATTGCTGCCTGTGGCAGAACTGTAAAGAGCAGGAATTTGGTGGGTTTTCAGGGACATCTTGGTGTTCTCCCTCTCCGTGTGCACGAAGTTACATAGTGCCTGCAGCCACCAGTGAGATGGAATGGGCACATGAGGAACTTTGATTTTTAAAGCAGAACTTACTGTCTTACTTGGTGTATGTTCTAATTATCCTTACTATGGCAGACAGGCATCTAATCTTTATGCTTTTTTTCTCCAGTGTTCTAACAAGTAATATACCCATGTACCCATTAAGTTTTAGTAGCACTTTCAGTAGTACTTTTAGTTCTGCTGCCTACAGTATCTTAAACCTTTGTGTGAACATTTCCTGTGATCAAGGCTCTGATTTTGGATGTAGATTGCCACGTTTTTCCAGCTGGTGGAAAACAATCCTCTTTGCACCACTTCTCTTTTTTTGTCAGAAAGCCCCTTTTCAGCAGAGCTTCTGTCTTTTGTGTTCAACACGCCAGCCACTTCCTTCTCAAACTCGCATGCACTCACATAGAACCCTGCTAGCTTTTTCCTTTTGTTGAGAGGTGCTGTGTGGGGCTCCTGTTCCTCTCCAGCCTCACCTGGTGTGCCTGGCAGGGAATAGGCATTGCCTCCCCACGACTTCTCCATCAGTGCAAATGCAGCCAGTATTACAGAAATCTGGGTTAGCCATCCTGACCCCGTGGGGGCATCTGCTGCTTTTCAGACAGGGATCAGAGAGGTCAGCTGCATTATGGAGAGGGAAAGCACTGTAGGTAGCACAGCCCCTGTAATCCCTTCCCTTTAATGCTGTTATGTAATACTGTCAGTATTCATTCACTGGCACATGGGGGCCTGCCTGGAGTAAACAGCCAAGGGAATTTAGAGCCATACACCATTTTCATTCATCAGCATTGCTTATCTCCTGGCCACAGATTGAACCCTGCAGTGTAGCTCTCTGCAGATGTCACCTGCTGTTACTCAGCTTGGCTGTTTGCAAATCTCCTCCTGCAATGAAATGACCCAGCTGAGGGGAAGTCTAAGCATTTGAGGTGAACCCCACCATCCTCCCAGCATGTGAGCAAACAGCACACTGCAGTCTTTGAATCCCAGCTCCTTGGCATGGGTCAGCACACTCAGTCCTTAGCTGGCAGTTCTTCAGAGGAGCTCCCCACATCCTGAGCTTCCCTTTGCTTTGAGGGAAATGCTTGTGTGATAAAGTAAGCTTTATTTAAAAGTCCTGAGTTTTGATTCTCTTTTTTTCCTTCTCTAGAAACAAGTAGTCTTGAACTGCCTGAAAATAGCTGAGTTACATTTCTGTGTGCTTTTTCTTCTTACTATCCTGCTGTACCATCAGCCACTGGATACCTGCAGAAAAGAGTCTTGATGTGTTATTAGGAGGCCTCTCCTCTCCACTGGCCATCAGAGGTGCAGTTTCTGGTGGCAGCGGTCTCTGGGTGGGACAGCAAAACCTGTGGAGCCCAAGTGGGCTGTTGTTCCCTTGCTGTCCTGGGACAGGTCACCTGGAATGATCTGGCTGGAACACATTGGCCAGTCACACTGGCTCCATCCTGCTGCTGCAACAGCTTCAGCCTTCCTGGGAACATGAGGCAGAGCCCTCAAGCATACAAAGAAGAGTCCTGGTTGGCTTGGATGCTTGCTGGCAAAGGCTCTTAATCTTCAAAATCTCTCTCTAGCTCTGCATTCCTCTTTTTAATCCATATTACTTGAATGAGACCATTTTCCTGGAGGCTTTTTCCTGCTGGGAAGAGACCAGCTGCTGTGGACTATGATCTGACACAATTTTGAGATGCCTAAATCCTGAGAACCACTAAGCAGTTGCTGGCAGTCTGTTAAATAACTTTTCCTGGGATTAAAACTGCTCCCTCAACCCCAGCGAGGGCAATCTTCACTTTGAAATAGAGCAAAAAACGGAGTGCTGTTCATCTGTGACAAAAGGTGTTACTGTCTGTGGGGCTGGCTTTGTGGACCCTCCTGTTGCCTCTTTGCCCTGTAAAATTGAGGTTAAATCCATTCTTCTCCTTTTCAGTAGTACGGTTCTTGAGAAGCACCCAGTCTTTGGCCCAGGAAAGTTACAGAGGCACTAAAGCCTTCCAAGTGCTGTAGTGTTCCTGGCCCCAGCAGCAGCAGCTCCTTTTGTTGCTAAGCACAGAGGCTTTCTTTTCACACTACTGTATCCAAATATCCTTCTGCAAACCCTGTCTATGGTCACTTGAGCTTACACATGTGGTTTGGTTACTTTCTATAGTTATCACCCTCTTGGAGGTCCTTTGGCTCTTTAATTGGACAAAAAAGATGCAGTACGTTTACTTCAGCTTCTTTTTGTAGGCAGATCCTCCTTGCACAGAATTCCCAGGGTCAGTCAGAGAAGCAGTGCTAATTGCACCTTGTTTTTAAGTGCTAGTAATGCTGTATGGGTGATGGTCATGTAGAAATGGCAGCTCAAGAAGAACAAAGCCAGAGGATTTTAACTTTAAGCTTTACTCTTACTCTGTGCTGGATACCTGGTTTCTTATTCCTCCATATTGAGGCATCTGTAAGACTGATTGTTTTAAGGATTACTCTTACATGGCTTTTGAGTAGATTGCTTGAAGGTTTCATGTCATCAGTGGAGGCAATTTATATATTTTTACACAAGTTTTTAAAGTTCCCAGGATGAGCTTGGCAGTTTTTAGTGGCTCTTCAAAGTTTTCCAGTCCTGTAGTTTGATACTAACACCTGCATTTTCATCTTGCTGTTGTGGTATTTTTGGGAGCTGTTGTGGAAGAAGCAGATCAAAGCAAACAGCAACTACAGAGCTCGGTGGCAGATGCCTCTTTCTCTTTGCTTGGTTTCTGAATACAGACAGGGGGTCTTTTAAGCAGAGACATCATTACTGTGTTCTTGGAAGAGGATGGGAAGTTGCTGACTTCTCATGACAGAAATCCTCCTGGGTAGTTCTCCTGCCTTTTATCCATGCTCGCTTCTTTTGTGGCCTTGCATGAGTCACTTAAATTTTCTGGTGGTGTATGAGGACCAGTGCAATGCCAAGTTATCCCAGAAGGGGACCAGGCCCTCACCCCATCCTAAAATGGGGATATTATCCCTTACCTACCTCACAAGGGTATCGTGAGGATTGATGCTCATATAGCACTTTGAAGATGTCAAGTGCTATGTAAGTCACAAGTATTATCCAACTTCAATGTTAAAATTGCTTTTAGGCATCTGCAGGGCTTTTCTTAAAACACAGAATGTGTCACTGCCTTTCCAATTTGCATCAGATAGAAAAAAATTGCAAAATATTTATTCATGCTGGTTAACAGGATGGGCTCAGCTACACTTGAACTCTGTGGGAGGTTTAGCTTAAAAATCTGAACTCTCTAATTTCAGTTTTGCAAATGATGTTTAGTTCTTCTAAAAGCCTTGACCAAATTCTTAGATGTGAACCTTGCATCCAACTTTTGCAGTCTGGTCTTGTCCCTCAGTGTTAGCTGGAATAAATACAATCCAGCCAAAACAGAGTGCCTCACAATCTGCTGTGGCTTTTGAAAAAGCTGGAACAGAAAATTAAATAATTCTGTTCAACCTTCAGTCTGCAGAAGGTCAGCTGAGTTTCATGAGACAACTTTCAAAGGGATGTTTAATTTCTCTGATTGTAAGTTTCACTGGCTTTAAAATCAGCAGAGAGAGAAAGCCTTGATAGAATCAATAAGGTCCTTCTTGAATTCCCTTTCTTTCATCCAAATGAAGGAAGCAGTGGGTTTTGTAGCAAAGGAAGTGCATGTACCACCAGTCCCATGGCCCAGAACAAAAGTTGATCTAGAAATACAGCTCTCAACCATCACCTTGTTCTCAACTAGGATAAAAATGCCATTGTTCATTGCTATAAATCTGGGCCACAGCTAGAAACTACCTAGTTTTTGTAGCGCTAGCTGCTGTACAAACACATATGAAGGCAAGGAATTACACACCAAGGAATGTGAGCTGTGTACATGTGAAATGGACCATTATTTTGAAGCAGCTGCAGTAAAATCTTAATATGAACTCAGAAGCAAACACAATGCAAATTTTTATGGTTTCTTTAAAATATTTGATGGATTTTCATTTTCTTAGTTTGAAGAAAAGTTTCTTAATGTTATTTTATTTTTGCTCTTACTGTAAAGAATAAAAATTCTAGACAGACAACAAAAGAAAAAAAGTGGCCAGTTGGCAAGATTGCCAAAACTTCTGTGGTCTGTATTGTTTCTGTGGTGACACTGTGCTGCTGTCAAGTGAGCTACTGGAGTGGTGTGATGGCTCAAAAGTGAGGCTGAAGCACAAGATGCACGTATTGAGCCACCAAGACTTCAGTGGTAGCATGACTGGGCCAGTTTGGATCAGTCAAAGACAGAGCATAAGGAAATAAAAGACAACTTCCTGACAGAAGAAAAGCAAGGAACCAAAACCAGCCCATTGGGCGATGGTGCTGAATCACTACAAACATTTTTATCTGACCCTGCTTCTGCAGGTTCCTGCTGGACCAAGCCTTGCTCCTAATTCAGCTGGGGAGGCTTGCTCCAAGCCTATGGTGCTGGCAGGGTCAGGCCAGCAGAACCTGAAGCTTTGTTAAATATAACTCAAAAACCAGAAAGCAACAGCAAAAGCAAGACTCAAACCCTAAAACTACCAAAAAAACCCCAAAAACCCCAACCAAAACAAAACAAAAATGCACCAAAAAAAACCCAAACCAAACCAACAACCAACCAACCAACAAAAAAAAGCCCCAAGGAAGAAGAAAGCAAATGCCACTGGGTAAGTGGCAGTTCTGCCTGACTGAGAATGCAGAGTGGCTGGTCTATCCTGAACACTAATGTCTATGTCTTGGACCCATGCGAGTCTCTTGCTCCAGCCCCTCTCCCACACATTCCAGGCAGAGTGCACTGAAAATGTGACTGAAGCAGCTGCTCTCCTCTGGGGAATCAAGCACTTTGCCATGTCTGAAAGTCTCTAGCACTTACTTTCTTTACTGTGATTGTAAAGGTCACCACATACAGTACAGCCACTTGATCTGGGATCTTTTCTTAACACATTTTTATGCTGATTTTACTATTCTTTGTTTGGAATGTATTTTTTTTTTTCTCATTTCTTCTGTGTATAACAGCAATTAAAAATATTAATTTACTCAGTATTTTTACTGTGCAGATACAACGTCTCCTTGCTCATTTTCTGTTTCTGTCACTGTTTCAGGATGAAATGTGAGGCTCCTCTGTGGTGGGCAGCTTTTTGTCATTGTTACACCCTCCAGCATAATTTGTGCTGGAGCTGCTCAGCACCCTACTAAAGCTGAATGTCACAGTCAGCCACAGCATTCCTACCTGGGGAACCCTGAAAAACACCCCATTCACCTACAGAGCACTTCCAACAAACCAACTAGGCACCTGGCTGGTGTTATGCTACACCACATCCTCAGTGCCCCTTGGATGCCAGTCTCTGGGACAAGCTTGTCCCTTGCTGCTCCAGCCAGTCTCACAGACAATTGCCATTTGTCTACACTTCCAGGGAGAAGGGAGCTTGCTGCACAGGGCTGCTCCAGGAAGACTGCTTACTGCCAGGAATTCCCAGACTAATGGCCAAATCTTTCTTGCCCCTTGCCCAGGAAAAATTTCCAGGAGGAAAGGAGTAGTCTCCACATTTTTCTCTGGCTGGGGATGTGATGCCAGCTTCTTCAGCTGTTTGATGCAGTGGCACAGATATTTTGTTTCATTAATCCTGAACCAGGCCATCTGTCACCAGTGGAACAGGTTCCAAGGATTTATAGCATAGAAACACAGTGGGTGTAAGTGCTCCCAGTCAGTTAAATGGATCTGCTCCCAGGCTTAATGGAGACTCTTTCATCCTCCCCTCCTGAAGTGGAACGGTTCCTCATGTGAGAATTAATCAGTACCAGGCTGATACACAACCAAATTATTTCAGGGCAGCCTAAAGGGGTTAACAGAAGGCAAAAGGGAGTGATTATCTCCTCTTCCTTTTATTTGGTCTTTTACAATTTTTTTCAAAATCTTAGAGGCCTGCTGGGAGGAGCATCCTGTTTCCTCATACCTCCTTCCTAGCTCCAGATGGAACAAAAGTGATACAATATTCTCAGACTGAGTGTGTCTGGGTCACTGGCCACTGCTATATTTTTATTCCAGAACTGGCTCCTGGAAGATTTCAGTCTACATTAAAAGAACCAGCAATAATATATGTATATTTGTATTGATCCACCTGTCAGCCTGTTCAATGATTCAGATTTTCTGTAATCCCTTATCTAGGCATGGCCATCAGCAGTGAAGTTCCTGCGCTTTTCTGTGGCCAGCTCTTTTACAAAGTGACTCCCTCATTTGCAAATCTGTATTTACTTGGTATTGTAAGGATTTAAGTATTTCAGATTTATTCAGGCTTATTCTGTGTTTCTATACAATCTCACATAAAGAAGTGTAAAATACGGAGTTCCTGCTGGGCTATCTGGAGAAAAGGAGGCAGAATCCACATCTCTTCTTGAATGTGGAAGCAGGATTCTCTCTAATCTTTGGCTCCTTTTATTACCATTAAGATACATTAGCAGAGGGTATTGGAAATATCACCTTTAACATCCTACTGTACAAAATCACTTAAAGGGAAGGAAGATGGAAACACTGCAAGTGCTCCTGATGATGCACCACTCTACCACCTGGTCTAACTGACCTTTCACAGAAGCCAAAGGCAGCTGCATTTTGAGCCACATGAAGACAAACTACACAGCCACAACAATGCTGTTCTGCATGCCAAACCAGGCACAGCTAGTTCCACTAATTATATCTTATGTTTCAACTTCTGCAAACTTCCTGTCCCTGTGTCCATCTTTTTCTTAAGGAAAAGAAAAAGACTAAGTGCCATAATTAGTGTAGTCAACTAAGTTTTGAGTGGAAGTCTCACAAAGTTATGGATAAAAAGCTTTGTAAAATTTTTAAAGGTTTTAAAGATCTATAAGACTTTCCACTGCATAAAGGAAAAAGTTGTCTGGTAGTTTTCATAGGAAGTGACAGTTCAAATTTAGGGAGTTCTCATTTTCACTCCCATTTCCCCTTGTTTACTTCAGCACTGTTCTGAATAATTCGCTTTGGGTCTAATAGTCTTTGTGTTCTTTGCAACCTGCCACCTCCCAGCCTAAGGAAAATTATGTTCACCCCCTCTGAGCTACAACAGCAGCAAAGCTGCTGCTGTGTTTCACTGAAGTGGTGCAGTGCCCTATTTGTTTTTGCAAATATTATGAAAAAGGCTAAAACTGAAAAACCTGACTAAGCAGAAGACTGCAAGTAGAGAAGAGAAATAGAAAAGTACCGTAAGTATTGAGTTTGTGTGGCAAGGCTTTGGTGGCAGGAGGAGATTGCAGGGGTGGCTTCTGTGAGAGGTTGCTGGAGCTTCCCCTGTGTCCAGTAGAAGCAATGGGTCCAAGTGTCTCTGTGTCAACACTATTGAGAAGGGGAAGAAAACTGCAACAGCAACTGCAGCCAAAGAGAGGAGTGAGAATATGTGAGAGAAAAGGAAAGAGGAGAAAAGATGAGGCATGATGAACTGACCACAGCCCCCATTCCCCATCCACCTGCACCAGTGGGTAAAGGAGGTAAAGAATTCTGAAATAAAGTTAAGCCCAGGAAGAAGAGAGGAGTAGGGGAAAGATGTTATAAAACTTTGGGGTTTACTTTCCTTACCCTACTCTGATTTGATTGATAATAAATTAAATTCCCCAAGCTGAGTGTGTTTTGCCTGTGATGGTAATTGGTGAGTGATCTCTCTATCCTTACCTTGCTTCGTAAGCCTTTTGTTAAATTTTCTGTCTCCTATCCAGCTGTGGGAGGGTAGTGATAAAATAGCCTTGGTCTGCACCAGGTGTCCAATTGAGGTAAATCCACCACAATATATTAAGAGGAATTGAAATAGAGGTTTAGTCCCTGTGGAATCAACACAGAAATCACCTACTCCTTCACAGTTGTTCAAATCACCAGATTTGCTCAGCCTTTAGGTCAACCCTTACTCCTTTCCCATAGGACAGCCTGTCAGCAACTAAAGACCACTGAAAGTCTCTGAAAAATGTCCCTGAAGACAATCTTTTAAGTCCTGGTCTGAAGGGGCTTGTGTCCTAATGAAGAGTGCATGTTTCCACATGAGGCATGATGCCCTCCAGCCTACAGTGCCCAACTCCAGGCAGTAACTACCCCTCTTCCAGAACTAAAATTATCAAGAATATAGTTCCTAAAATAATAAAAAGAAATCTGCAGTTGAGCTGGATTTGACAGGAATGCCTTATCTGCTAAAGTCCATTTTACAGTCTCTGACTCCTGATTTCTCACCTCAGCTGCAAATATCTGGCAGCAGAGAGACTCTACCCAGAAGCTGCCCAGGTCAAGACGAGGAGCCCCAGGAGCCCTCAGACATGGGCTCCCATTGAGGAACCTGGCTATAAATCAGCACCTCACCCCTACAGTGCTTTTACAAGCCCTACTCCCACACCAGCTCTGCTGTAAACAGGCTGCTTTGGCTAACTTTGAAGAGGTGTGTTCCTTTTGTAGCAGTGCTCACCTCAACAAGCTCAGTGTGGGAGGGCAGAAGGTAACTTCTGCCCAGCAAGCAGATCTGAGGGGATAGGGAGCTGTTCTCGTGCCCCTCAGGCCTGTCTGCCTTCCCTGAGCAGGCTGAGAGCTGGCAGGATTCCTTGCCTCCGCCTGGCTGGCACAGAGAAGGCTCCCACTGATTTTAGGGAAAAGGAAGGTGTGCTCCAGCTGTGGCTTCAGGGAGCATGGGAAGTGGGACACATAGTAACAACAGGAATTAGTAGAAAAATGGTAAAGAACTGCTCTCAGTCTTTTGGGCAGTTGCTGGTTTCAGTGAAGAAGTGTTGCATGTATTGTACACACAAACACAGATCAATATGAAAATCAGAGCAGGAAACCCCGTGTGAGCATCCTTTCCCTCTGCTGACCCCCTGTGAGCTACTTCCACATTAGCAGAGAGAAGCAAACACTGGGTGGGATGTGTTTGTGTGCTCAGCAGTTGTCAGCAGGTTGTCCAGAAGTAATGATCTCAGACAAAAATAACCCTGAAAAATCTTTCCAAATATAGTCCCTCATTATTGGTGCTGTATCAGTTTCATTTTAAGCTGTGCCTGGCAGCTTTTCTCTCTTGTCCCCTTGAAGAGAACACTAACAGGCCTGAGGAACCAGGGCCTGTCTCTAAAACATGTTTGTAAAACTTCACCACACCCTGGAAGAGTCAATGCTCACACAACCAATTTGAACCAAGCTCTGTGTTACAAACTGATTTAAAACTTCACTGGTTTCAACAAAAGAGGGAAGAGAGAGTAAAATATGAAATGTCTGATTTTCTTCCTCTTTTTGTTTTGGAAACCTTACTAGCTGTCATACAATGTTGGCAAAATCCATCCATTTTGCAAAGGAAGAGAACAGATGTACCCAGTGCAGTGTCTGTGCAAAACAAAAAAAAACCAAACCAAAACAAAAAAAAAAGCAAAAAAAAAAAAAAAAGCACAAGGCCATTGTCAGAGTGCATGCATGGACTGCTTGGAAGTGCTAAGTATGCCATGGATGCAGAGCAAGCCTAGTTAGGGACTGAGAACTGGCCATGTTTGCTTCTGAGACATTGAGGGAATTCACAAGGCCTGCTGGCCAAAATAAGCCATTTTAAGGGATACAAGACTGCCTTAAAATGACTGAAGAAAAATCTCAGTGACTTCAAAGGAAGACAGAGCTAGTCTGGCTTTTTTGGCTATGAAGGTAAGTTCCTACAATGTGGCCCTTGCAGCTTCAGCACCTACAGCCTGAGCAATCCCTTCCTCTGTGGACAAGGGAGATAGCCCAGAGGAGCGTGATCCACAGTGCCAGTCCCAGCAAGTGCACTTGTCCTGGAAAACAGCAGGGTGTGAACTGCATTCAGACACAAAATCTCATGGCTCCTCAGCCTGGAGAGAATCACCCCCAACAAAAAAAAAAAAAAAGTGGCTGCACACCAGACCAACCAGAGATGATCAGCTTGCAGCTGCAAGTCGTAGGGTTCATAAGCAGGCAGGTGCTTCTTGTTGAGGGGAGCCACAGGTTAGGCTTGGATGTGTTGCTCACAGTGCCCCTGTGCTGGGGTCACTGATGAAAGCCCAGCTCAGAACAGCTGTTGTCACATGCTCTGGCTCCTCAGTGGGGCCATGAAGCAGGAAGCACTGTCCTTCCCAGGATACTCCATCTTGAAGTAAAAAATGCTGCTGGGGACAGTCACTGTGGGCTGCTTCCCACTGCACACACAAACATACAAGCAGAGCCAGAACCACCAGCACAGAGAGTCTTGTGCATGAGTACAAATCTTAAAGAGCTTGGGTATATCATTTCATGACCTGGACCTTCCCATCAGGGAAAACCCAGTGAGTAGGAAGAATGAATAATACACCACATTTCTCTTGGCATCTGACCAGCATACCTGCCTCAACATGCAAACAAATACAAACTGAAAAGCAAGAGGGGAAAGAATTGGGAACCTCATTCTCCCATTAATCTGCTATGCAACTCTAAGCAAGCAATTAATTTCTTTGTTTCTTTGGCTGTAACTGAAGTGTCAGACTCCACGGGGATATATCGATGCATTCTCTCACTAATGCCATCAAATTGTTAAGTGCTTTCAGATATTTGGCTCCCAAAGCACTTTAGAAATGCATGATTAAATTACACCAATTATAAACCAAAGCAGGTGATCTTGTAGAGGAAGGGATATTGCCCTGCTGGTGTTGATCTGAGGCATTAATAGTCTACAGAATGCTCGGGGGAAATCAAGGGGAACTGCAAGTACAATTTAATTTCCAGTGTCCACTGCAAATCTTCCATTTTCAGCCTGTATTTAAACACATTTCTTGAAGTACTTAATACTGCTTGTTCTATTGACATGGGATCTCCTCAGGTAAATCCCCTGAATTGTAAATGTAGCACTGTATGACAAAATTTTCATGAGACTTCATTCTCAGAAAAGAGCTTATCTCCTCATTCTCCTTCAGAGTTTTTCTACCATCCCTCAGGTTTATGCAAATAAACCTTGTGACTTGCCATTTATAATGAAGACTAGGAAATCAGTTTACACCTGTGTCCTGCTGGTCCTGCCTGAGGACAGGTAGGCTGTTATCAAAGGAATGTAGCGCAAAGCAGAGCCAACCTAACTTTCCTCCCTTTGCCACTCTCCTACACTTGCCTACATGCACAGAAGTTACTGAAGTCATTTCTGTAGAATCCAGACCTAGAGCACTTCCACACAAGAACACAACTACAGCCATGTAACAGGAAGTGCTTTTTCTCAGCTGCACATGTAACATACCTATGGTCTAATCATCAGGAAAGGCTGATTGGCAAATACAAATACACATTTTACACCTCATTATTTCTTTTAGTGTACCATTCATTCTGTCAATTTAATGTGTTGCCTATTACTCTTAATGGGATTAGAAGACTCATAGCAGCATGTGGATAGGCTTGTGAAGAAATAGATACCTAATCTAGTAATACGTATTAATTTATAATTTTTTATATTACGATATTGTTTATTACACCAGGCACAGGCCAAACAAACAAAAAAAAGTCTTTGATCTCACCATTTAGAGTCCCTGCATTCTGCAATTCCCCAGACTGGGCAGAAGGATCACTTCCCATTTTGCCTTGATGAGCTGGGCCATGTTCAGTTATGTTTGGGAGTACTGCTGATTAAACATCCATGTTATCATTAGGCATGTGTAGGGAGCAACTGAACAAAGAAGGTGGCATTTACCTGATAGGATGACTTCTAAATGTTTAATTTAATGTGCTCTCAGGGACTTTCTCTCTGGTCCAGAAAGACTTCACAGTCTCCTACGTGTCACAGATTTCTTCGCTTCTCATTTAGGGAACAGATCCCAGTCAGACTGAAAATGTGCTACAAGAAAATTGACTTGTAACACCAGTCCTCTCTTATGTCAAGACATGATAATATCACCCTCTGAGCACACAGATGTCCTGAATTTTAATTTAAGCAGCATCTGTATAAAGTGCTATGTAATGGGCTACATACACATCTAGTAAAAGGAAGGCTGGTCCTGAAGAGATTGCCAACAAATGGAAGGGATAGAAGAGGAGGTATTCTTGTGTCTAATCCCCAGGTGAGCACCTGAGGTACAGAGCAGGTAGTGACACACCCAAGGCCACACAGGGAGCCTGAGCTTAACCCTGAGTCTTGTGCTTACCTCTGTGTCTGGAGATGTTCCACTGCTCCTGTGAATCCAGAGGGTCAGTGTCCCCACTGTCATTGCAGACAGTGACTCAGAAGATGTATTTCCTCCCTGGGAGCAGGGCTATGACAGGGTATTTATAGCTGTAGATCTTCTCTGTGCCTGTGAACCACATGTCAGTACTGACATCACATTGCAGGACACCATAATACATCTCCTAGTTGTCTTCTTCATCTGAGCTGTGGTTCAGGGTCAGGCTATCTGGGACTCCTTCAGCCAGCTGCAGATTACTGGGTGGTCAGGGAAAGCTAAGAATTAATGATCCATTTAAGCACTAGTTTATTCTGTTTGGCTCTCTCCCTCTGCCCTTTTCTGGGCAAAAATATTTCACTTCCAAAGTCACTGTATATCTAGAAAAGTATTTCCTTCCTTAATTTCTTCTACCCTGAGGAACCTGAGGGCCAATTTGTACTGTGCAATTAGCTTCTGATGAAAAAATAGGGCTGTTACATTTGAAAAGCATTCTCTGAAAGGAAGACAACTGCATAGGTCTGTAACCCCAGCAGATCATTACAGTAATAGGAGTCTCTCTAAGGACCCAAGCCAGCCTGCCTCCACTTGGCTGGCACAGACCCACTGGCAGTGGAAATGATGTCACCAGATTGCTGAGGGGACAGACACTGTTGTGTCAGTGCTGTTACAGGGATTTCCCTGTTGAAATAATGACATGAGAAACAAGGTAGCATTGGGAGTGTCTGGAGCAGTAACTGCTTCACCCTTTCCCTCCACACTGAACAGGGTAAACAAAGCCCCAGCAGTTCCATTCTTATTCCTTGGCTCTGAGCCATGCTGCTTCTAGGCTTGGTTCAGCTAACGGGAAGGAGGGAGTTGGGAAACACAATGAAGGTGAGGGAAAGTCTTTTCTGACCAGGGAGTCTTGCTCCACTTCATTGGAAAAATTTTGGATTATGCCCATGGCCTTTTTTGGATAAAGGGTTGTATCATTGGAAGAATCTGTTCTTTTTTTTTTTTTTGTACCTCTTGTCAGTACCCCAAGGTGATGGAGTTTTCTCTATACTGTACCTGCAGCCTGCATGTTAATGTTGTAATGGACATCTCTGCAACTCCTCTTGAGGATAACGTGAAAACAGGTCAGAAACAAATCAGCTGGTGCTGTGGACCAGCACTGGGAGTGGTTCTTGTCCTCCACTGGTGGTGGTGGTGGGGAGCATTGGCCAAGACAACTGCAACTATGAAGTTTTGCTTCCTGGCTTGGGCAGCAACAGAAACAATCCTCACCTTTGAGCACAAGGATGTCTGTGGCTATAGGAGCTACTTGTTCAGAATCAGCCCAATAGAAAAATGTTTCAAGGACACCAGTGCTGGAGATTTCTTCAATCTGCAAAGAAAATGGCAGGCTTTGTCCCCAGCAAAGCGCATGAGCTGGTGTGGCCTGGGAGATTCCACATAACCTCATGCTACAGTTCGATCATCTTGGGAGCTGAGGGAAAACAGCTGGTGCAATACAGATCAACTTGTACAATGTCAACTGAGAGATACCTTCTTATGGTGGGGCTCATTTTGCAAGTTCCTGTGGAGCCTGAGTTCATGTAGTATTCTAGGATTAAAAATAATAATAAAAAAAAAGAAAACATATAAATTGCTGTTAGAATCTATAGAAATAAACTCAACATCCACGTCAGTATAAACTGTACCTCAGACAGGACAGTGTTGGAACCTCAAATACTGTTTTACAGCCCTAGGCAATTCAAGGTTTAATCAAGAATGATTTCTCTTCACCTAACATGAACTGTAGTTGCATGCTTGAAAAATTCTGCTTCTCATGGTGAATCACAGAGCCCCCTGCAATGTTTTATACTTTGTTGAGCACTGATGCTCCAACTGTGGAGGGCTGGGTTGTGCAGCTGACAAACCTGTGTGCACAGAAGTCCCTCTATCACCATGGGGAGGCCTATAAAAAGGCTTGCCATAAAAACAAGGAGCAGTTATGCAGGACTTCGTAAACTTGAAGCTCTGCATGACTTTTCTCCACTAGTCAACTTTGAAACTGAAGTGACAGCTTGTGATAAAAGCTAAATAACAGCTCCAGACTCCCAAAACCTGCAGCTGTATTTCACCAGATGCCCAAGAAAACACTAACTACAGGATTCCTACTCTGACAGGACACAACACAGAAGCTTACAGATAAGATGTGAAAGGCATGGTGCTGTCCCAGCACAAACCACCATGTGGCTCTTCAGCCTCACAGTCAGATCAAACCTGGGAGGGCAGGAATGAAAGAAAACAGAGAAAAATATTTTAAAAATAAGAGAGTGAGAGATTGCACAGAAAGGTAAAGCCATTCTTCAGCCTGTTGAGTCACATCAGAGACTGTAAGAACCACCCTTCAGACTTTCAGTAGAAGGCACTCCATGTAAGGGTTAAAATGTTGTCAGTTTTCTCAATAATTATGCAACCACAAGAAAAACATCAATGTAACCAACTTCTTTCTAATGAACACCTGCTCAGGACAATTTCAGGTGAGGTGGGTGGAACAGGAATATTTTAAAATAATGTAAAAAACATGCCAAAAAAGTGTTGTTTACATGTAATACATGAATGAGAACAAAAGAAAGGAAAAGGCAGCTTTAATGCCTCATTTGAGGATTTACTGTCCAAATTCTGCCACAAGCAGTTTTGTGTAATGTCTGTTTCTTACAGGACTTCCCACAGTCTTCAGCACAGTACTTCATGTTGCCATGCTACAACAGAGAAATTTGTCTGGAGCCTACAGGCTCTCTGGGATTTTTTTGGTGTTTATTTGATGATACAGTAAACCATAATAATAAATGATAAAGCCATCCCCTGTGGATGGGTTGTGTAGTTCCAAAGTGCAGACTGAGAAGAGAAATGACCATTTCCATATTGGCCAACTGGATGTTGCCATCTGAGACTTCCTCAGTGAAACCTGAAAGTCCTTCTGCTCTACTCATGAATCACCTATTCCTGCTGGCCTTACTGCTACTGAGGACAGCCAGCATCATGCTTGGTCACCTGGGAGTATCTTACACAAAAAGCCTGAATGTTCAAATTAATAATTAAGCAAACAAGTTCTAAACAATAAAGATTTAGATGCTTTGCTACCTCATTTAGTAAGGTAGCTAGGGATTTCATGGCAGGTCATTCTCTTTTATATCTTCATTCTCAAGACATAATTAGTGTTCTTGAAGCATGACCTCTGCTAATATTACTTTAGCTTTTGGTACCAGAAGGCTGAGTACTCACTGAGGGCCTGAAAGGACTATAATCCTGTCTCAGTAACACCACATATTTACAGCAAATGGCTGTTTCAGACATGATGGTTTGTTTACTGTAGGATCAACTGTCCTAACCCATACTCAGACTACTGAATCCATGTCAGGAATCAGGGAATCTTCCAAAAATGACCTCTGTAACCACATGTGAGGTGTGATGTGAAGTTGTGGTGACAAAAAAACACCTATTACACCATTATACCTGACATACTCATTCAGGGGACAGCTTAGCAAGAAGGATGGCAGAATTATTTACATTTGGCTCAAGGATTGTGCAGTTTTGTGCTGTTCTCCATCTCCTCTTAGAACCTCTGAAAACTGAACAAAACCCAGCCAAGCTGTGATGATAAATGCTTTTTTTTTTTGTGGAAGATTAATCTGATAAAGCTTTACAAAATGTACTAACAAAACTCTTTTTACAAAAGAGACTAACAGCTTACAGATAGGAGTTCCAGCTAGGTAGATACTGCAGGTCTTACCTGAAGGTAACATTGCTAGAATTCCTTCCTCTAACGATGCTGCTTCTCCCATACCAGCTTCACTCTTGGCTTAGATTCAGAAGTAGTATTTGTCTGTGAATGGTACTAGAGATAGGGATATTAGTGCATTTTTTTCTGCTTTTTGGTGTCTTCAACTCATGTCTTTAATGTCCTTACAGAGCATCTCCATGGTCTGGTTTGCTGCCAGGCTAAGCTGAAGCTGGAGTTGAAAAATCCACCACCTGCAGCAGTTCTGAAGGCTGTGTGACAGCAGCAGAGTCCACAGCTTGCAAATGTGAATACAGAACTTGGTCCCATTTCAGGATGCCAGACCTGCAGGGTTTTGGGTATAAAACAACCTTAAGAAACACAGAGCAAATTCTGTCCAGCAAAACAATGTGATTCCTAACATGGCACATAATGGAGACACTGTTTTAAGGCTGGCCATTTAAGGAAAAAACTCAAACGTTCTGGCACAGAATCATCTGGAATCTGCTGTGAGCACTGCCCACTACTCATTTTCCACATGTGCTTAGAAGAGGTGTTTAGCATTAAATATTTGCTTCTGTCTCTTCCTAGCTGGCTGGTGAGCTCTGCAGTACATTTCCTACAACCTGTTTTCTATGACCCTGAGTCCCTTGTGTCTCTTCTTGTTTAATAAATCCCTCCTACAGTCCTGTGGGAAGAAGTCAGGTGCTAGGTGGACTGGGATTAGGGAATGTGCTTACTGACTTGCAAGATCCTATTAATGTCATTCAAATTTCCTTGCCAAAGATTACAGTACCCCGATAATTAGTAATTTTAAAAAATACAGATCTTGCTTTTGCTCTTTAGCTTACTTTGCAATGGCCTCCATTATATATGAGAAGAGCAAAAGATGGACTGTTTAAAAAAGCTGTATGTTTTCAATCGAAAGAATAGGGAGTTGTGTATCCAAATACAAGTCGTGCTCTGAAATTCTCAGCTAAAATGCAACAACCTTCCCCCTGGCACCAAAAAAGTCATCCAGTGCAGCATGGCATAACAAACTTGATTAATGCATTTTATACAAGGCTCTCACTTGAGCACAGAGGTCATAAGGAATACAGTGCATATGGACAGAGAGTATTCCCCTCTCCTAAGCCTAGTGTGAGATAATGCAAGTCTTCAAATAGGAAAGGAATCATAGCTCCAGGCTTTAAATTGGTTTTGTGTTATCTTCTGATGTAAAGGAGCCTGAATGCTTTCCCATCTGAGTAACTATTTAACCTCAAGGCTTTCATCCACTGCAGAGATGCTGGCTTCCACACTTGGTCATTTTTTTTCTGAATTAGGTGCAGCTCCTAAGGCCCACTTCAGTATCTGTTACAGAATTCCACCAATAGTTTAGGCTATTTATTGATGGCATCTGACAGTCTTTTTTTTCTTTTTTGCAAAATGCTTTAGAGTCATATAGAGAAAGAAGTCTCTATAACTGGCACAAAATAAAATCTGTCCATTTCATCCATTTCAGTATTTCTAAGGCTACTGTAATCCTTTAGAGTTTGTCTGTGGTATTGATCATTTCGGAACTAGGGACAGATCTTTGCTACTAAAAATCCAGTATTAAAATAAAAGAATGCAAGCAACTTTCATGAATCTCACAGGAGTTTGTTTTTTTTTTTTAAAGGGTTGATGGGGGCGGGGGTTGATGAGCATAGTAACATGTATGGCAAATTATATTCTTTGTCATACATTAGGGCATTTGGCAACATCTATGTAAACCTTAAGTACCAAAGCTACCTACACTTCAGAACACCTTCACCACATTGATCTCGGCTGTTTGCAGGTACTTAATTCTCCCCAGCTGGGCATCTCTGTGTCCTTTTTAAAATAGTTACGTAGGAATTACTAATTTAGTTTTTATTGCTTTTGGACTGAGATAAGCCAAGAAGAGGAAAAAGAGAGAGAGAGAGAGACAGGGAGATAAGACCCAAGAGATGGCTACAGTTGCTTATCACCTTCTGACTGAGGTCCAGCCTGTCCCTGAGCAGTGACTGGCAGCCCCCAGCCAATTGTCCCCAGTTTATATACTGAGCACGACAATCTATGATATAAGAATATCCCTCAGGTTGGGCCAGCTGTCCTGGCCATGCTCCCTCCCAGCTTGTGCCCCTGCTCACTGGCAGAGCATGGAAACCTGAGTAGTCCTTTAATAAGAGAAAACACTACTTAGCTACAAAATCCAAAACAGTGTTGTACTAGCTACTAAAAATAAAATTAACTTTATCCCAGTGGAAACCAGGACAATACCATGAGTGATTGCAATTTAATTAATGTGAAATCCCAACATTTTGAATGAGACAGAGGAAAGAGTCCAAGAAACAACCAAAATATTAACAGAAAAAGAAGAGCAACAGTCTCGTTAGTCAGATGCTGCTGCTGATAGGAACATTCCCATGTGTTGCACAAGCTGTGTTAAGCATGGATCATATGGTTGATATCTGATGGATACAACAAAATCAGCCACTTGTTCAAGTCACTTCTGGTCTAATTCAGGAAAAAGCAGTCAAAATGAGACACCCAAACCCATAGGTGTGACTTTCAGAGGTGCTGAATGTTCTGGCCTCTCATGGTTGCTTGGGTAACAAGCCACTCAAGCAGCTTTTGTGAGACACCTCTCTCAGAGGCTCTACACAGAGAAAAATCAAACTAGCACAGAACAATCACAATTTATTGACTTCAAATTGTGTACATGTGTTATATTTGTGTGTATAGAGAAATATATGTATGTATAGCAGGAAGTGAAGGAGGGATAATTTGTATGTTTAGATTTAGTCAGGATCACAATGCTTTTCTAAAGACAATTTCTTTGCCACCTACTTCTCTTGGTCACTTAAAATGTTTAAACATTTCAACTATTGCACTTATTCTGAAAATGAGCTCTTTCTGCAGTGCATTACAGAGTAGCTCAGAAACATCTTCCCTAATCCATTGGAAGTTTGGGCAAAAATGCAAAGTTTTAGGTGAAAAATTATATAGATTGCTTGAAGTTGGTGATTTTCTTTCTTAAATGTTTCAATAGCCCAGACTTGCTGTTTGCCTTGTATTTCCTGTAATGCACTCTGGCCTTGGGAATGGGGATTAGAAAATTGGTATAATTGGGAATCAAATATAGGAATAAGAGGTCTCAGAGGATAGTTTGACCTGGGACATTTAAAGCTTATCTAGTTTAATCCCCCTGCAATAAGCAGTGACATCTTCAACTAGATCAGGTACCTGAACTGTAACTCTCAGAAGACAGATCAGCAGTGTTTTCTAACTAAATTAGTTTTTCATATAATGGTTTTCGTTGGAAGAAATCTTAAAGATACTCTGCCATGAGCAGGGACATCTTCCACTAGACCAGGTTGCTCAGAGCCCCATCCAACCCATTCTGGAACATTTCCAGGGATGGGGCATCCACAGCCACCCTCACAGTATGGAATTTCTTCCTAATGTTAATCCAAAGGTACCCTTGAAGCCATTGCCCCTTTTCCTATCACTACATTTCTCTGCAGACAAAGGGATTTTTCAGATTCAGCACAATGGCTGCGCTGTCTTTTCTCACTATGATTTTAGTTGTAATGCACTCACTGGCTTTCTCCAACACCACATCTTCTTTCTCAGTCTCCTCCATACTGTCCTTGATGTGACTTTGAGCCTTGGTTTTGCCAAGGGGACCTTGATGCTTGCAGTGTGCTTGGTTCTTCACAGTGACACTGTGTGTAGCAAAAATCTTGAGGACAGGTTCTTCCATAATTGGAGAATCTGGAAAGAACAGAAGGCATTTGAAGGCTGCAGCTGCAAATATAACTTGACACCTATCCTGTACCTGCAAGTTCCCAGAAAAAGGGGTCCAAAACTGAGCCCTCATACACTCCTTCATGTTTTTTCTATCAGAATTTGGTGTTTTGTGAAAGTCTTCAGGGACACTCAAAATTTTGTCTTGTGCTTTGATTGATCATGGTTTTGATTCAGCTGATTTAGTTCTGTTTCATATACAGTGAGTCACCAGCCCTCTTTTAGTTGTTCACCTCAGCAGAAAAAGAGGAAGCTCTGGGGATTAGCAAATGCCAAAGCCCCTCACTTCCCCAGGACCTGGAGATTTGATTCCAGGCAGCTTTTTGGTTTTGTAAAGCATCTTGCTGCTGTTCTTCCCTAAAGTCCCATGGGGATATATACCTAAGATCACGATAAAGATAATAGAGCCAAAGTTAGTAACGAAAATGCTCCCTTATTTGCAGCAGAGTAACATGGGGGAATCATAAGGATGTCTTGCACATAATAATGAAAGCCAAAACAAAACCAACAGGCTCCCAGTACCTGAAGGGAGCCTACAAGAGAGATGGGGAGAAATTATTTACTTTAGCCTGTAGTATCAGGACAAGGGATAAAGGGTTCAAACTGGAAGAGTGTAGATTTAGATTAGGTATTATGGAGAAATTCTTTACTGGGAGGGTGGTGAAGCACTGACACAGGTTGCCCAGAGAAGCTGTGGATGTCCCATCCCTGACAGTGTTCAAAGCCACAGGAAGGATGGGGCTCTGAACAACCTGGTCTAGATGATTTTTAAGACCCCTTCCAACCTGAGCCATTCTATGATTCTAAACATATTTGTTGTTTTTTATTTCTTTATTTTTGCCACGCAATGCACAGCATAAGAAATCACGATTCTCTGCTGGTACTCAGGAAAACCAACTCTCCCTGCTGGAGAGGAAAGCTTTGCTGTGGATGTATTTCCACTGCAGCACAAGTCTGATAACCATTCGGTGTGGCAGGCACAGCACCAGTGCTCCTGTTTGTCCCGGCAGAGGTTTTACCCGGCTGCCGTGAACCAGGGGGAAGGAGAGGCTTTTTGCCACTGAGCGCCCATCTGGCGCCATCTGCCTGCCAAGAGCCGAGCCATACACGCAGCTCCCTTCTAGTCATCGTTTCAGACAACGTGCTTTGCTTGTTGCTCATGGCATCAACGCTTGAAGCAAAGGCTCAAGCCAAAATTCTTCACTAAGCCACTTAAAAGCAGCCAGCAACCCGATTCTGCAGGTCTTTGTGTACACCTGGTAAAGAACAGGAAGGACACAGGCACATCCGCCCCCCTGCTCCTCTCCCAGCTTGGTCAGTGATGAGTCCCTGCTTCACTATCCAAATCCTTTTCAAGCCCACCACCCGACAAAAAGACCGAGGCAGGAAACAACACAGACTGCAATGAACAGAATTTCCAGCCGTGTCCCTGAATCTTATGATCAGAGTTTCCTGCCCTAAGATGTCTAAGCTGTCAGGATTCCTGGCTCCTACTGAGGCAAAATGATCCATGGACAAAATTAATTCAGTATTACGTGGATCTGTGCATCTGCCTAGATGGGCCACATGGTATGTGCTGAAGGGTGTGTGTTTGCATGCAGAGGATGCATTTACTGATTACTCTGAAAATCAGAGACCAGGAGGGAGAAAGGTGGGTGGTGAGAAGCCAACCTTGTGGGAAAGAGTGTGAGCCCGCAGGCTGACAAAATGGGTTAGCAAATGTGAAAGCATCTTCACAGGAGACTGCAAAGGAAAAGTTTGACAAAGCCAAGATCCAAAGCCAAAACTTAGTAAGCCTGAGACAGTACTAGTGTGGGAAGGATATGATCTGTTCTTATCTGATCTATCCATCTGTTTGTCCTCCATTAGAAGCCCTTTATCCACACCACGCCAAGTCCCATTAGGGTTTTGCAGCCTTTCATTATTCTGATCATCCCATGGGCATTTTACCTATTTGCCTTCTTGAGCCATATTCCTCCCATCTTTGCATCATTCAGGGCAACACAGCTTGTCAGGATCCCCAGTTAAAAGTAGGGACATCACACACTTTATGGTTGCAAATGTCAGAATCATGGAATAGCTCATGTTGAAAGGGACTTATAAGGATCATCAATTTCAGTTATCGGCTCCTTGCAGTTCTGCCCCAAACTAAACCATATGACTAAACATCAACCAGACACTCCTTTAACTCTGATAGGTTTGGTACTCTGTCTCTGGAAAAAATCACAGTGGAAGCATGTGAATAAAAAACTGTTCAGAATTGTCAGCTGAGCACTTCAAACACCAAGAAGATGTTGAAAAGCAGGGAGATCTCCTAACAGTATGGGAAGATCACAGGATGAAAGTGGTTTAGTAAATTGGAAGAAGTCCTGTGAAGAAAGTGGGATAGAAAAGGTTGTTCCTAAGCAGTTTTTCCTCTCCTTTTTGTGTGTTCACTGAAGGGAATGCAGCTATAGGAATCCAAAAGCAGAAGCAGAAGAGTGGCCCTTGGCATAGCTCCATTCTCATAGCTGGTACAGAGGACCTGACACACCAGCCAAACACTCCCTCTACTGCCTACACAATATTTGCATCTGAGCTCTGATGGGCAAAGATGAATCAGTAACTAAAACACCAGACTACAATTCCAGTGTGCACAGGAGTCAGAGGCAGCTCAGACACAACTTCCAGGTTAGCTGTGCCACAGAAATGGTTTCTCTCACACAGGAATGACCAGAGATGGCCCTTGCCTTGCACTGTCCCTTCAGACCACCCTGGCCATGGCCCACAGAAGGCACCCAGACACCAGGCCTGGTACCCATCCTGCAGGAGCCTTCATTTTCTCATTACACAAAAATGAAGGACCAGCCTCACAGAGATACATCAGGGTTGGCTACAAGGGCAGATCCATCCTCCATTTAAGAAAATCTGCCTGCCCCCACAGCTGAGCTTCTTTTGGCCCCTGAAGTTTCCTTCCTACCACACCAGCAAGAGAATGTTCAGCAGTTACTGAACTTGTAAAGGATGCACAGCTATAATTTTATCCTCCTCCTAGGTAGTTAATTTCAAAATGGTCTTAAAATGCTTTTAATAGAAAGCACCTGGGCATAGTTCAAAGCTGGTCCACATCTAGCAGAAGTCCTCTCAAAGACTAGCAGCCAGTAAAATCCAAACCCTAACTTTGAAATTCTCCTCCAGCCTATGCTGAGAGCATGAAGCTAAACTTTCCAACTTTTCTTTGTGGTTTTCTTAACAGCTATGTGTATTTCTGTAAAGATCATAGACTAAAGTTTACAGCATCAATAATGCTACTGCAAATTAATTCACAAAACAAATGTGATATTAAACATTTACCAGCCTCCTGTTGTGATGCTGGTCTTCAGCAAACTGCAGTCAAGTCCAAGTCCCATAGGTAACTTTAAAGAATCAGGATAAGAATTCATTAGGGCAATCCTGACTAAAATAAAACACACAATACATTTTACTAGTCTGGTTTAGGTGACAGGTGTAAGGACTTAAATGAAAGATTTATTGCTTTATGCTTCTACCACTTCATACAGCAAAAAGTCCTTCATTATTACCTTCATACTACCAACAGAAGGTACAGACTAACAGCTTATTCCATGTTAAGCAATAAAAAGACTGCAGATCAGTGTTATTTTACACATTTCCTAAAAGTGTTCCAGCAAAGCAGCACTGCTCCATTGGAGCAGTAAAAAACAGTGTAAAGACTAAATATTCCTTCTCTTCTTCCTCTCTTGAGTCCCTCCCACAGCTGCACTGGCACTGCTGTACTGCTCATTAGGGTCACTGTCTCGTGTACCCTGTGACCACTGTGATCACAGTCACTCAGCCCGTTGCATTAAATGGTAAGCTCTGCTCTCTTCCCTTCTCACCTCCTGGTGTACTCAGGAGACCTCTCTATCACTCATCCATTTTTCATCCCCTTCAGGGAGACACCTTCAGGAGTTAACACACACTCTAGGCAGGCTTTTCCCTTCCTCTTCACTTGGATGTTCTTGAGATTGCTGACAAACTGAATTGGAATCTCTGGGAAATGGGAAGGGATGGGCAAGAAGAATACCAGCAACTACATTATAAATCAAAACAGGTGTCATTGTCTTTGCAGGATATAACATGGGTTCCTGTGCAAGAGAGATTCCAGACTTGGGACTTTATTTCCAGTGTGAAAAAGAGGTCTTGATGCTCCTCTGCTTGCCTGTCACACTAGCTTTATGAGACTGTGGATTCCAATTTTGTCAACCCAAGCTCTGGGGTTTTATGTTTTTGCTTTATGAATTTTGCAGGTCAAACCTTGCTGTCTCACATGTGATCCACCCACTGTGCTAAGATGTTTACTTTCCACCACTTACCATCAGTGAAGAGCAGAGTGTTCTGTACTAGACCTCCAGTCTTAACACCCAAGCCTCTTAAGTAACTGGGTTGAACACCCTTCATTTTCACAGTGTGGGCCAGTCCATCATCCGTTGAATCATCATTCATACTTATCATCCCACTTTGACTCTTTCTCATTGAACTTCTAAGTGAAGCTTTGCACTTTCTTTACCAGGGAGATCCCAAGCACTGACACTGATGTCTGTTTTTCACTTTTAGTGGTTGAGGTTCTGTCAGGATTTAGGGAGCACACCTGTTAAAATACCAGAGACAAACATTCAAAAAGACAGTCTTATTTTTCGTTCTTGATATCCAAATTCTTACACTAAACAGCAAAATGTCCATGAAATACTTTTGATTTCTTGATTGGTAGGAGAAAGATAAATTCACTCCTTCAACTTCAGTAGAAATTAAGCTAACTATAGCCTATAATGCTCACTAAAAGCTGCACATAATCCTATAAAGCTGTTTACTAACAGACTCACTGGTTTTCTGTTCAGTTCTGCCTGAATTCTTCTGCTCTTTTTTCTCTCTTTGCCATTGTAAAGTAAATAGTTTCAGGCAACTGCAGATGACATCTGCAAGCATACCTGGAACAAGCTGAAGTTGAAGGATGACTGCCATATTACTGCTTTGCCTGCCAAGAATGCTGCAGTGCCTGGCACAGGATCACTATTTGTTTAAGTAAGGTAATCCACCACACTACCAAACAGCCTGTGCCCAACCCTGCCTAGGACTTAATCAAAATTATAAGTATTATACTTAAAAGATGATGCTAATGGCAAAGATCATCTTGAAGAGATAGACCTGCTGCAATAAAAGGTAAGGCAGGCAGGTAGCATCACTGTTACTCAGCACTGATTAAAAACCAGTTTTCTGCATAAAATGTGTTTGGTTTTCTTTCAAAAAGCAAGTACACATTTGTTTGGTGATAGGAAGCACATGCAGATGAAAAAAATATAATTCTCATTATGCCCAGGCCCATCCACTCACTCCAAAGTGCTGTAACAGTGTTTGGACAAATTTCACTTGCACTAAAATGACAGTGCCAAGGTGCATTTTATAATTTCCATCTTCTTGGCTAAAACTGGTCCAAATTCAGTAGTGACTCACTCCCCTTCTACACTGACGTCAGTGAAGAATTTGGCTTATTATGTGTAATAACCAGGCTTCAAACTGAAATCTGCTCTCTCTTAAAAGGTGTTTTCTTATGGGTACGAAGGTAATTGCAGGTTGGTTTGTACAAGTTACATTTCTGTTCAAGCCTAAAAAGACTAGTGAATCATGAATGTTGTGGAGACATGCAAGAAAAGATAGTTACAGTTGGGTCCACCAGTTCTGACCCTCAGATGTTTGTCTGTAGTTGATGTTGACATTGTACAAAGAACCTTGTGGGTCTGAGAGCAAACATTACCTATCACTCTCTGCACAACAGAGTTTCCTGTCAGCCACAGAAGACTGTGGAAATGTTGCCTGGGTCTGCCCCATTCCCACTGGAGATGCACGGTGTACATTTCAAACCTATATGCTTTGTGTTATTTTTTTGTCAGGGAACACAAAGGCTCTCCATAATAAGCACAATGTTTGCTCCTGTGAAAACACATGCTTCTTTTTGTGCAGTGGGCTCAGAGGGCAAGAGCCATAGAGCTCACAGTGAGCAGGGGGTAGATTCTTCCATCCTGCTTCACATCACTCTACTTGCAGCAAATCAGCCCTTTGCCTAACTTCAAAACTCTTACAAGCTTGGCTATTAGCAACTGGGCTAGGCAATGGTGAAGCCAGACTTCTAGAGCTTATCTTTAGTCATAATCAAGGACATTGTGCAGATGGCATCAGTGTAGGCACAGAACACTTCAGACTTGTAGTTACCTGTGTCATCTCAGGAACAGCATTCAGACTGGAAAGAGGAAAAAACCATAGAGAAACAGCAAGCAGAACCTCCCAGTAGGCTGGGGTGGCAGGGAATGTGTATAACAAATGTATTAGTGAACTCCTCTTTTTGTGTTTATATCAGTATTTTTTTTAATCACTAATGAGAATGACCTGTTGAAAATCCAGAATCTCTGAGGGCAGAAATTTTGAAGCCAAATCCAATTTCCCCTCATTCCCTCATTCCTCACAGCCTTCCTAAAACCCCAGAAACAGACAGAAGTCTTTCCACTGCTAGTGATGTATTTTGGATCAGATGCGTTCTTTGGCCTACGGCAGAAAAATTGAAGCCAGTTTTCTTCTCACAGACATCCTTTTATTCTGATGCTCTGCACTGAAAGTGAGCATTCCCCCTGCACTGCATGGGGAATACAGAGACCAGAGAAGGGCAAATGGAAGCTATTGGATTTAAGACTCTGAAGTACTGTAGGAAGAGTTTGATGTGGCCTGACTGGAAGATTTGCAAAGGACTGTCTGAGAGAAGAGGTGAATTAGGGTGAACTAAGGATTAAGGAAAGAGGAGAGAGAGGGACAAAGCAAGGGAAGGAAAATAACAGAGGAAGGGCAGTACTTTTGCAACCATGGGACATCACAAATTAAAGAGGAACAAACTGGGATATGTGTCCTGAATAATACTGTGTATTACTAAGACTTAACATTGGTTTTGCCTGAATGGCACTTGAAGGAAGAACATTGACCTGTTGAAGCAAGTTCAGAGGAGGCCACCAAGTTAATGAGAGGGATGGAGCACCTCTCCTGTGAGGAAAAGCTGAGAGAACTGGGATTGTTCAGCCTGGAGAAGGCTTTGGAGTGACGCAATTGTGGCCTTCCAGTACCTGAAGGGAGCCTACATGAATGATGAGGCAAGACTATTTACAAGGACAGTAATATAGCAACACGACAAGGGGAATTGGCTTCACACTGAAAGAGAGCAGGCTTAGATCAGGTATTAGGGAAAAAATCTTTATTGTAAGGTTGGTGAGGCACTGGCACAGGCTGCCCAGAGAAGCTGTGGGTGCCCCATCCCTGGCAGTGTTCAAGGCCAGGCTGGATGGGGCTCTGAGCAGCCTGGGATAGTGGGAGGTGTCCCTGCTCAAGGCACGGGGCTGGAATTGGACGATCTTTGATGTGCCTTCCAACCCAGGCCATTATGTGATTCTACGACACACAAGAGGCATTAGGGCCTCACTAGTCTAAAAATATAAGGGCTTTTTTGTTACTTACAAAACTAAGGAACAAAAGTAACCCACTCTCTCTTTCCCATGTTTCACTAGGGCTTGGTTTGCTTTTAAGTTTAGCTCAGAAAATTGCTTTGTCTCTTAAACTCCAAGAAGAAACATTTAAATTTATGAATGAATAAGTGAAATGGAACTGTGACCTGTTACTTACTTTCTGTGCTTGAGTTTATTTTAAATCACAGGGTTTTTTTCCTGTCTATTTTATGGAAGAGATTAGATTAACCTTGCTTTATTTTACTTACTGTACTTACAATTTTACATCCATCACAGATACTACTCTGGAATGAAATTCTTTCATTAGCAGCTATCTTCACACTGACAGGAATGATTTGTGACTTTTTGTGATAATATGTCTCAAAAAATAAAGACTCATACAATCTTTGTCACGTTAGACAGTCGCAGATCTGTCATATGGGAGAGATTATACATGACGGAAAGGCTTATTTACTTATGCATTAAAGGTCACATTCTTCCAGCCCTAGCCAAATCACTCAATCATGAATTCTGCATAGTAAGAACTGCTGCATTTAAATCAATAAGGACAAGTTTTCAGCAGCTTAAATGAACAGCAGCTTTCCCACTGATCTGACTGATCCATGAAAAATCTCCAAAAACAGTGAGGATGGATATAGGTAACTGCAGTTTGCACCTCTTTTTGTTTACCTCTCTTCTGTATTTACTTGCATGGGATGAGTGAATATACCTGAGAGCACCTGGAAATACAGTCAGTTATTGGCAGGTACTAGCTAAAGTTCTTCCAGAAAAAAATATTTTTTACTCACCCTTGGGTTTTTTCAGTGGACAAGGTTTTCCCACAAATTCAGGAAGGCTTTCTCCAGCAAGGATCTCAAAGGAGCACATCAGCATGCTACAAGTTTCCAACAAGGCAGAAGACTTCCTGAAAAACACTTTGGTTGGGGAAAAAGCATGTTAATTAAGTGAACAGCAAGGTAATGTTTTCAGGATTTATTTACCAGGAATGGCAAAGAAAGGATACAACAAGAAGCCCCAAACCACAAAGCTACACAGAGAACTGCTCATCACCTAAAACTCCTGAGAGAGAAAGGTTTGTGCAGCAGGAAGAATTCTAGTTGTCTGTAGGAGGCTGCTGATCATCTCCTCGCTTCTTTGCTGATTTTCTGCAGGATTCTGGGCAAGTAATTTGCTCTTTCTGCAGATATCTTGTCACCTAGACAATGAGAAAATGGGGCTGCCTTGCTGTGCAGGAGTGCTGTAAGGTGCTCGATATCAGATGTCATTCAAGAAGGCTTCACAGCTGGATGTATCAAAAAGCCCATTAGAACTTGGTTCAGCACTAACTGAATATCACTCTTCAGTGCTGCTCATGCCCTATGTCTAGGTAAATGCCCATAATTTTAGGATAAATCCTTCTGCTTTGATGCTTAATTGCAGAGGGCTTTAAAGAGCAAAATTTTTCTATCAGAATGAAGCCATTTGGTTTATTTTAGTATTAACTAGTTGTTAAGTCAAGTAAAACTGGTTTGGATTTTCCCCCAAAAACTGCCCAGTAAGGATCTGTCCTTGAAAACTAAATTCTAAAGCTCCCTGAGAACACCACTCTAAAACAGAGTTATTTTTCTGTGGTTAGCAGCAGAATGTCTCCATTTTACACCAGGAATATCAAAAGAAACTTGATTACCAGCTTGAGTTATTCCATCTTAATTCATTTAGACTATTTCATTACACTTCTTTCTAATCAAGGACCTCCCCAGCTCTCCTAAGTATATCACATACAAAGGGATTTGTGAATTACACAAGAGCATGTGCCCTAGCTGCTCCCAGTGGGTGTGGCTGGGAGCTGTGCCATTGTCATCACTGCAGTGACAAGACAGTAAGAAGGCTGCTTGAAGCCAAGATAATCCAAGATTGGTCCATGTGTGAAACGCAGTTTGGGGAAACTGGGCTATTTGATTGTGGTCCTTGAGGGATGAGTATTAGTAATCTACAAACTGCAGCTCTCTCGTTTTAAAAATTGTTCTGTGACAAGACAGACACAGTAAGGAATTGTAGCCTCTGACACAGTCGTTTAATGCTGCTGAAAGATCTTAGGGCAGAAGAAAATCAACCCAAAAGCCTTTGCAAGATTTGGGGGCACAAATGATAAAGTTAAGATGATGCATGGCCACCTAGAAGATACAGCCCACAGGAAAGACAGTGTTAAGACCATATGACCTTGAGAGTTTGCTTTGTTGCCAGCAGGAATTACAGATATGCCAAAAGTACTGTTTTGGGCATCTCTCCAAAGAGATCCTTTTCCTTAACAGAATATATATACCCTGATCTCCATGCTGAGCTGGCTTTTGCCTCCAGGCTGCCTGTATGATACACAAATTTTCCGTCTCCTTATGCCTAGTCTGCCCGAAGATGTTCCCATCCTCTTTCCCTCCCTGTCTCATCCCTTCACTCCCGTGTACATACCAATGGCCATGGGTGTTGGGGACAGCACTGATTTGGGCTGGCTAGGAAAATAAGAGATATTACCCTGTCCCAAGAGGCCCTTGAAAAGAATGCTGTGGTTTTGCCCCTCAGCCATTGTGAGGCAAATCCACAGCAGCAGCACCCAGTGATAAAATGAGAAGGGATAGAGGATGCTGCTTGGCTCACTGGTCCACTGCTCTGCATGCCTTCAGATTTCGATTTTCAAATCCTACAAAAGCTACAATGACAGGGCTTAAAAGTTATCCAATCACCTTTACTGTTCTCCTTTCACCTCAAAAACGCAATTCCCTTCACTTAGATTTCTATGGCATGATCAAATTTTTCATCCTTGGCTACAGATTTTTTGAAGGCAAAGCCTGGTTACACTTTGGAGTGAAACTTTACAAAGTTCCTTTCATTGTAAGGGAAGGAAAAGAAAAAGAAAAACAAAGCAGATGTGGACTTAAAGATATTGAACTCACACAGCCAATTTCCACCCTGCCTGACCACAGGCACAGAACACAAAGTATTATGACATTCTTGACAGTATATGTTTATGTAAATATTAATTACCTTTTTATCTCAGCTGATAAGGTCCTGGTCATTCCTACCACAGGAGCTTTCACAACCATTATTGACCTTTCTGTGTCCCTCAGCTCACATGAAGTTGTGTAGCTTGTTGCATTCCCAGGAAGATGCCTGGGTCCTCTTACACTGGACAAATATGGATTTGAATAGCTCAAAACTTAAATACATACTGGCCTCTTGTGGGCTGTGTTGTTACATCATTTACACTGGCTTCAGCACTTTCTCATTCTTGGAATAACAAGGTGAACAAACCTCAAGTATGATGCTAAAAGGAATAAACCTTCTGTAGGTCAAAAAGATAAATTTTTATTTAAAAAGAAACATTACTTCCCCAATCCCAGGTTTTCTTATGATTGATTTTGACACTATTTCAAAACTTTGATCAAAGGCAGTCTACGAAATAACTTAACAGGGCTTTTTTCCTGCTAAAATAAAAATATGTGAGTCCAGTTTTCAAACAGTTAAACATCCAAAAAATTCTTCTTTGATGTTTAAGTTGTTTCCCAGTGCTGCTTTCACACTTCCAGGCTTTGGCTCTGTTTATTTTAAAATTATACATGCAGCACTTTCTCTTATTTCCAAATCCAGACAGTTCATTCAGTTACTCAAGCAGGGACTCTGCTTTAGAAAATCAGTTCATAACTTCAGACTGGAGACCATTCTTTAATCAGCTTTCTTCTATTCCTTAAGAAATCTAAGATTCTGCCACACTTCTTCATACGGAGGACTGCATTCCCAATTGGAAGGGTACTTTATTTACACAGTTCAGTGTATTCAGCTTTTTTTAACTTCACTTGTGTTGACCACAGCATTGCTGACATAGTGCAGGAGATTGTTTTAGGTGGATAAGACCAACCCATTCTGCAGGACACAAACTCTATCTTGCTTGCAACAAAGACTTAATAAGGTATAGTGGCAATAAACTGCTTAATTGACCTCACTTGATTTCTGTTTAGAACAGAATGTTGTTGTCTACTCCATATCTATGTTAAATTCAGTTTAAAAGGGAGTCTAGTGCAGGAGGCACTCGGGTTATGCTCTGCAAAACACAGGAAGTGAGAAAACCAAAGAACATAAAAATCTAGCCAACTTCTACAGGCTGATGGGAATAAACCTACGGGTAAACTCAGGAAAAAGCAATGGACACCCCAGCCTCTCACCTCCCTCCAGGAATATACCACCTTTTCCTGACGATTTTTAGGTGATTTCTGCTAGTCTAGGAAAGAAAGTGGAAGGTGAAAAGTTAAACACAAAACAAGAAAAAACAGTGCAGAGACTGAAACACTGTCAGCTTTTCCAGTGAGCAAAAAATACCACATTCAGACAGCCAAAACAAACATATGCTGTTTCACAGGCTAAAGAAGGAATCCAGCAAGGCAGACACTCTGTGCTTGCTTGTCTGGAAGCTCATGTTCTGTTAACACAGATCAAATCAGAAGTGTGTGGAAATGGGACTGGTCACGTTGTGAAGTAGATAAAGTGTTATTTATTGCTTGTTTAATAAATGAATGAAGAAACCAACCCTCATTTACGTCTTCAGTATTCTACTTCAGGAACAAGGGCCCAACTTAGCTACAGAGAAACCTGCTTTCTGGACTGAAAGTTGTATTTTCCCCCAAAAAACACAAAATACTTCCAACACAATCCAATTCCTCCCACCTATCCAAACTGACACCCTGACCTTTGTGCTGCCTGAGTGTTTGCTTTCTGTACTCCTCACAACATCCTAAAAACCAAGAAGACAACAGTGGATGTGGTAAAACCAATCACACATGGCTTTCCTTCTTTTGAGGAATCAAAGCTAATTTATGAGAGGAGGTTTCCACTGTACATTACCTGTTTTGACTTAATTCCTGACATGTTTCCTTGTGTGCACTTCAGAGGCAAACAAGCTAAAGGAGATCGATGCAGGATTTTCTCCATATGCTCCATGGAAATGTTGCCTTTGGCTTTTCAGAGGAAAGTTGCACTTGGTACTGGAAACAGGGGAGTTAAGGTCAGACTAATAAAAAGCTTTAACTCAGGCAAACACAACTTTTTCTCAATGGAGAAATGTCATTAGTAAGATGCACATAACTGCAGATTTATATCCCCAAAATTCTGGGATAAAGATCTATGCAGAAGAGGCTGAGCCCTCTGAAGGGTGTCTAGTAAGACAGGCTCTATTCAAAGAAAGAGATGATTTCTGGAAAACACTGGCTATCAACATATTTGGTTAACAGTAGTGACTTATTTAATTCTATTTAAAGCATAAGCAACAACAGACAGATAAGAGCCAAGAGGGAACACAAGATGAGTAACATAGTCCAGCAGAGAGAAAGGGCCAGGAATTGCAATACCCAAGTTCTTTGCCAGACTGTTTAAGCTTTATGTTCTCAAATGTTCAGAGCCATATTGCCAGCACTGATGCCAATATGGCTTTTCATTCTGAGTAATTCAGTCTCCCTCTTCATTCAGCTTTGCTATCATCTGAGTAAACCTGACACTGCTGCCCTGCTGGGTATTACATGGCCCAAAAGCTTGAGCAGGTCTAATTATAACCCCTTCTGTGACTTTCACACCATGCCACAAGAGTGTAGCATCTGTTGTATTCAGATGCTGGAGCCTGATCTCTATCAGTGCTCAAATGAGATTGGATTCTTCTCTTTCCTTGCATGTAAATCAAAGAAATTATCTTTGTTGTGAATATGTGAAATTCACATTGAGGCACTAGAAATCAATGCTTGTGCTGCCTAGAGCATGCAGATCTTTGACTGCCTGTACCTTATGCAGAAAGATGCAAATGCTGCTTTCATTCACATTTCTTCTGTGCCTTTGAATGGAGATTTTTTTTTTTTTTTTTTTTAATTTGCAGGGAAAAAAGCTTCCCTGAGCTTCCCTACTTTATCCTAAGGTGACAGTCACTCTTCCTGATACCAGGAAATACTCATCTACAGACCTGGCAGAAGAAAAAAGGTTTTCTCCAGGGACTCCAGAAGAGGTGTTTTATTTTTTCTCCATAGCAAATCTACAAAGCATGACCATCTATGTGCAAACTGCATGATTCCTCTACTGAAGAGACAGCAGGAAAGCGACAAGAACTAAGGTCCTGTCCTGTCTTCATTCTCAAGTCCATTTTGCAACTGCAAATTCACATGTTAGGATTTTTCCATTATAGACTAATTATAGAACAAACGCCTAGAATAAATACTTTTGAAAGTCTTGGAAGAAATACATTTCTCTTCCCTACATAACTACTAGGTAGTTGACATATAAGAATAATTTGACCAATCATCTTTATCTTGATCCTTCAGAGAGCGAGTTGTGCTTTACCTGGGGACAGCCCTTACACTTAAGTGCAATCTTAGTTTCTGTGCAATCTTCAGCATCTGCTGATCTCAGACTACCTGCATGAGAACAGAATGTGCCATTAGTCTGTTACTGTGACAGAAAGAGAAATAGGATAAAACTGCTTAGGCGTGATGATCAAATAGACCAAACGACCAGCAAACAACCAGCACTGAGCTAGGCTCTGCCCTGTTCAAAGTCTGAAAAAAGCTTACCAAACAGAAGACATTAGAGCTGGTTCTAAATAAAAATCATCTCATGCTTGTTATATTCTTACCCACCTGGAGAGAGGAATTCAGTCCTTTGGGAAATAACTGTGGTGTAGGTACTAACGCTGTGGTCTCTGGTACAAAGGGTCCTGGGCACTGAGCAGGAGAGAGTGGATAAAGTATGCTTGGAATCTTCATTTAGTAGAGAAAAAGACTAGCCAGAGACATAGCTTAGCTTAGCTCCTATTGTCAGTTCAGTTTCAAACACACTGATTACAGAAGCAGCATTCCCACTCATCTCAAGTGCTTGCACATGGCCAGAGCTCCTTTCTACTAATCTTAAGCACTTCTTAAGACTACCTCTGCTGCCAGAAGAGATCAGAATAGCTGATAACAGGTCCTTCAGATCTCAAATTCTATTAAAAAAAAAAGTAAAGAAAAAAAGAGACAGAAATATGATAATTATGACAAGGCCAGAGAGTAAATAGGAGGATTAGCCCCAAACCTGTTAGACAAAATAACACTTTAAGAGGCATTTGAATATTTTGATCCTGACCAAGTGGTATTGCTCTTACCTGGTATGAGGTGGCAGCAGTGCAGCCCTCATCACCCGAGCATGCAATAAGGCTGATATGTGCTTTGTAGCAGTGAATTGATGCCAAACAACCTAATTTTATCAACAACCACACTCTCAGGACATTCTACACATGTAGAATAGGAGTGGACAGCAGGCTAGATTTCCTTCATTGTTGTAAATCATTCACTTCTACTCAAGTCAGTGAAGCACTGCCAGCTAAGACCTGCTGAGGATCTGTGCAAGGACCTCAAGGTCAGTATCTTAGAGCCTTAGAGTTAGTATCTTTTTACCTTGCTTGCCATAAAGTTATTCTCCTTGAGAAAATCTCCTTGTGCAGGAGGCAACTTATATGTTCAACTTACCTCCTATATGCACACTGCCCTCCAACCAACAAGCATTCTTTAGCAGATGCATGGGAAGCTGATGACAGAGCAAGTAGTTTTATTCACTGAGTCAGTTTTGACACGGAAGGGCACTGAAAAGCTGAAAAATATTTATAGGGAGTTCCACTTTCAATATTAACCAGAATACCAGTGGTTATTTTGTTATTTTTAAGGAGTTCTTAGATGGAATAGCATTACCCCTTTGAAGAAGTTGGTAGCACAGAGAAAATAGCTATCAAGATTTACATAAAACTAACAGTCATGTTATGCTCAAAAGCTTAAGTTTATTGCTCTCTTTAATGACTATCACCAGTATTTTAAAAAAGAATGCCAGTTCTTTCTGCTAGCTTCTCACTGAAGGAAATATTTTAAATACAGCAATAAAATCAAGTGGTTTAAAGATAACACATTTTGCCACACATTCATGCAAACCCTGCAGACAGGATTTTTACAGGTTCATGGATACAGAATAAACACAAAGGTGTGTACTAAAATATTGGGAAACTTTTTCCCCACAGTGATGAAGTTGTAGGCGTAACATTTCAGGCCTTACCCTGCACCTGCTGACGTCAATGGCAAAACATCAGTGGGAGCAGGATCAGCCCTTTTTGTTCTGAGAGCTGCTTTACCTTCTCCTGATTAGGAAGTGCAGTAAATTCGCAGAATCTTCTGCACTAACAGAAGCAGTGGGTTTTGGTTATTGTTAAAAATAAAGAGAAGCAAATATATTTTTAGTAGGTTATTAGAGCTTCTATTCACAAAACACTCATCTTTCATGTTAAGGATGCTGCATACCTCCATTTTTCTCTGCTCAGTGAAGCACTAAAATGTGTGCTCACCTCTAAGCATTAAACACAATCTTCCCAGCCTGACTGAAATCTAAACCAAAAAGCACAGGCAGTAGTTTGTATCATTGGAAAGGAAACACTGTTGCCTGGACCAGTGATTAGAATGGGCTAATTATTGTCTTAATTTGGTTTGAGGGCAAATTTATCACAAAGCAGCAAACAAGTTCACTCTGATTTTTTTTTAAGCTGCCTTTAGGATTTGCATTAATTTTAATAGGCACTGGACACATGGTTACCCTCGAAGTTTTAAAACAAGTATAAATTCATAGAATAAAAGTGATTTTTATTAATAGGTTTTTAATAAAGATTAACTAAAAAAAATCCTCACCTGATTTTGAATCTCAGATTTCAGAAGAAATTCTGTTCTATGTAAAAATAGAAACTACATGCAGAAATATGATCTGTTTGCCAGATGACTAAGATGCCCAAATATTGACAAAGAAAAGGTAAAGCAAGAAGCATTTATGTTCAGATTAATGTCTACTCATATTCACCCCACTATGATGATACTGGGGTACACTGCTGGTAAGAATTCAAGGCAAGAATTTGACTTGTCATTCAAATCTTGTTTCCCCTTTAGTTCTGATAACACTGGTAGTGGACTGCTTTAGAAAAAATAAACAAGCAAACATGATGTGTGAAACATCATTTCAATGCAAATCTACTTGAGTCTTTCAATGCAGAGGCTCAGAAGGTTTACGATACACACAGTATTCGGTAATTTTATATGTAAAAACAATCAGAAAGAGGCAAAAATTTACTTTCAAGCTTAGTCAACATACGGCACATTTCAGCATGACAATTCAAAAAGTTTCACACTGTATTTGGATATATTAGCAATGACGTTTTAAAAAAGAACAAACTGAAGACAGTGGAATTTTTTTTCTGGATTTTTTTCTTGCTTTTGTAACAAATGAAGCTACTATTATTATTTACAGTATAAATAAGCCTTTTTTGGTGAAGATTACGTCCTGTCACATATGTTTAAGACAAGGCGTACCTCAGCTCTTTAATGTCAATGCAAACAAGAGCATAAAAGCAATATCAAAGTAAAATAATATCTCTCCAGCTAAGACAGCCAGGTTACCATGTGTCTCTTATCAGATCTGAAAGATAACTGAGCGCAGTCAAAAGTTCTCCTGGCTTTAGCCTTTAGGAATATCATGAACACTTATTCTTCTGCTGCTCTAGAAAGCTGCTTTCCGTACAAGCTCATGACATGATGCACAAATTGATACTGTTCACAAGTCTGGATCATTCCTCCCCTGAAAGGCAAGAAGAAAAGGGAGGGAAACAGCAGTCTTATTAGTTGCAAACACATGAGGAAATAGCACAGCTAACATGAAGCTTGTGCTCCACAGCAAAGGTCCATTCCAAAGCTTTCTGAAATGAGTGAGAGGTGCCCTTTGATTGTAACCAGCTTCAAGTCTGACCTCAAGTTCCATTTTGAAAGTGTCTGCTGAGCAAGGAACAGAAGGTAGTGAGAACAGGAACAGGTTTTACATTCATTTTCCTTGGCAGAGGTTCTCCTCCAGGAAAACATCACCATCATAATTTACTCTTATCTTACCTGAACACCTGTATTCCAAGAACCTTTCTATGAAAAGTAATTCCCACCCCAAAGCCCTAGAGAGATAGATGGGAGCAGGGGAATAAAGAGGGGAAGCAGCTTATCCAAGACTTCACAGCTACACTAGGGACTGCATTTGGGACCAAAGGCCAAGCCAAGCCACACCAGCCCAGACAACAGATGCAACTTTCCCATTCTGCAATGAGGATTCTTTCCTCTGTACCACTCCACATCAAGCTTTTGGCAAGTTAGCCAGAGAACTAGGGATGGCCATCAGGATTTTGGAGCACACAGTGTTACTTTAGAAAGGACAACTCAGATTTGTAACTGAGTTAACTGCTATGCACACTCTGATAGCAAAATATCCCTCAGCACAGTAACCTGTTTTGGTTCAGCTTATTTTTCAGCTTTTACAGTTCTCTTTAAAACTGAAAACCTGAAAGGAGATGCAAGCAGGAACAAAAGTAGTTTGATTTCCCATGTGTGTGTATTTCTGCAAGTAGCATATTAACCAACAAATAAGCACTATGGGGGGGGCAAAAATGAACAAAACCAATAGAATGAAGTTGCTCTTTTTAAGCAGATTCTAATAACATATGGAATTTTGCTAAGAGTACCCCATCAAAGGTGATATGATCTCTTGACAATCCATTATGAAGACAATTAGAACTTGTGTCCGAAGCTCACAGAAAGTGTACACAGAATTGTCCCAGTCCTGGTGCTGGTGCACAGATTCTGGCAGCACGGTGCCAAAAGGAGGCTGAAATGACAAGTGGAATTTAGGAACATGGGAACCCACAGGTGACTGAAGCTGACCAGACTGTGTCAGTCTGAGGAAGAGCACATGTGGTGCACTCCCTTAGAAACCTCACCAGAGGACGCTGATGAAAAGTTGCTTCCTCTAAGCCAAATGGGTGCCAGACTG